CTTCTATAAACTCCCAACTTTCATCTTTAAACTCCTACTTGACTCCATAAACTTCAAGTTTATTGAAAAACCTACACCTTCTTGACTCACTATAAACTTCTATGTTTCATTAAACATCCGTATACCTCCTTGACTACAAATTAAATTCAGTTATTACAGTTTCATTGGCATTTCTGTCATTTGTTTCATTCTATTTTTTTTTCTTTTCCAGTACCTATTTCTTCATAACTTACAATCCTTCCTATTTCTTCTCGACTTTCATTTCTGTACTCTCTCCCTCTCAATAATCTCTCCCTATACCATCACCTTCTCGAACTTCATAAACTCCGCTACAACTTTTCCTTACAATATCTCTTTCGCGAAGTTCTCTCTATTTTCCATACTTTCTTCATTCTTCAAATTAAATTTTACTGAATCCATCTTGGTTGCCATGCATATTTATAATCAACAATCTGGTGGCTATGGTTATTTTCTTGTTTCAAATTCTTCGTAAAAATTCATGAATTTTATTCTTTTCAATATCTGGGCCCATAACCTGTTGGACGGTTGCTTATCAACGTCCCGGACTCTGGAGGTGGAGGTCTATTAAAACACTCGTATTCACATATTCAACTGGTATATTTGCAGTATTAAAACAGTCACATATTACATTTGATAAAGTCTTATGTTTGTATATGTTGCCCGGTACGTGTCGTGATAAGTCTCTGTTTACAAACATCAAATTCTTTATAAAATTTAAATACACTGTTCCAATATTCAAATCATCCTTCCTGTACAAGGTGTTGCCAAACATATAAAAACCCCAACACTGTTCTGTAATACATCCATGATTTCAATTATTTTCCGTAAGACCCCTAAAACCTGTGTTTTTGTCTTAAGTGGGCCGTAACTCACCCCTGGTCCGAAACTGTTTAATCTACCCTTCTCTGGGTTGGTTTTTAACAAAGTAACGTTTTCAAAAGATCCTTGACAATTTTCAGAACAAATAAATTTAACATCTTTCCGTAAAAAGGATATTGTCAACAAATACATAGTATTTATTAGACCATCTTAAAATCATATCTATTAAATCAGGTATTTATTACATTTTGTTTTTTATGTTTATTGTTATAGTGGCAAGAATTACATTTTATAATTTTAATCTAAACGAGGCACAAACCATAAATAACAGTAAAACGTTTTTGACCAATGAGAGACGAGTTGAATTGACCAATAGGAAGAACCTGTCATCTGATGTACACGGAATATCGGGTCGTACATTATCGGGCTGTACCAATAATGTACGGCCCAATAATTCGTGTACATGTATTGTACGCCCCGATATTCCGTGTCCAATGGCTTCCAATTATCGGGCCGTACAATACGTGGCCGTACATTATTTGTACGGGCCAATAATTCACGACCCGATAATGTACGACCCAATAATGCACGGCCCAATAATCCGTGTACAAATAAAGGGATTTGTTTGTACACGGATTATTGGGCCGTGCATTATCGGGTCGTACATTATAGGGACCCTAGCTTGTCATCTCTTTTGTAGTTTATCTTAGTAATTGTGATTTTATTTAAATTATAGTAATTGTCGCTTTGTTATTGTAAAAAAACTTTACAATTCCCATAAAGAAACGGATTGTGTTTTAACTATGAATTCAATTGTAACTCTCTATGTGATACGTTTATTAAAATGTGTATAAAAGCATTTACAACTTGTAAATAAGTATTTATTGACTTTCGTGCAATATGTGGTCGTTTTTCTCACGGGACCCCACTAAGGACTTTCCATATGAAGTGGGAGACCCAATTCCAGGCTTGGAGGATAGATCTGTTTGGTCATTACACAGGGGAAAGAAAAGAGGAACACAAGATGAGGTGTCAATCTTTTTATTCGATGTTCAGAAAAACTCGGAGACTCTTTTTGATATAGCAAAAGCTTCACTTAAGAAGCTGAAAACTATGAGACATCCCAGCTTATTACATTATTTAGATAGTTGTGAAACTGAGAAATTTTTATATGTAGCTACAGAATGTGTTGAACCTTTAGTGACTCATTTAGAAGATATGAAACTCGAGGGTCAACAAAAAGAATTGTTTCTAGCATGGGGTATATTTCAAATTACTGTAAGTATTTCCACACACATTATATTACTAAACAGTAATTAATATTTATGTATTTAAAAACTGTAATGGTTGAATATAATGTTATAAGACTTAAATTATTAAAATTAAATAATAGTTGTCCTTATTTTCAAGATAAGTCTTTATCTTGTAATGGAAATAAATTTAAATAGGCTACTGACATTTGTTATCAGTTCTAACATTTACCCCTCTTCCTTTATTTGACCTTTTGTAATTAAAAAACTTTTAATAATTAATATCAAGCTATACAATAACATGTTCAATTTTTTTTTAATTCTATAGTGTGTATTTTTTATAGTCTGGTTACACTTAACTATTTTCTAAATGTAACTTATTATATAAAGTTAACTTATTCCAGAGAGCATTATCATTTTTTAACAATGATGGTAATATGCGACACAACAATGTCTGCCTTTATTCAGTCTTTGTCACATCTGCTGGGGAATGGAAGCTCGGGGGATTTGAGTTCCTCACAGCACATGGTCAAGACACATCTAGTCCAATACCTATTAAGATTTTACCATCTCTCGAAATATATGATCCTCCAGAGAAGAATGATCCAGCCAGACTGAAATCTGTTACAAAATGGTAAATATACAACTAACTTTTTTTATAGAAATATACAAATCTTTTATCATTTTTTGCACATTCTAAATGATGTCCTATTTAAGTTTCCATGTAAAATTCAATATTTTACAACTGCATAGAAATTTATTTTTAGTTTCATGGGATCATAAGATACATTACATTTTAATCAAAAACAAATACCTGTAATTTTTAAAATTTAGTTTATTTTTAACTGTAAAATTAATGACTAATCTCCTTTTATATTCGGATGGTTTACCCTTTTATTAAATGAACTAGCTGTTCCCGTGCGACTTCATGCGCACGAAATTATGAAAATTTTATTTTATTGTTTACATTTATCAAATTATCAATAGCAAATGTCAAAATGACATGACATGACTCTTTGGTCTCTTTCCCACATTAGTGTTTTTATCTTAGGCAACAAAGAAGTGTGTGTTTACACTTTATTATAATGGTATAGAGTATAGATAGATAGCAAAGATTACTCTAAATTTTGTCTTTTTACAGCTCATCGGATATGTGGGGTCTGGGTTGTCTGATATGGGAGGCATTTAATGGTCCATTAAAAAATCAACCTGCACTCAAAACAGTTGATACCATACCAAAGCAGCTCTGTACATTATATTGTGAACTAGTCAGCGCAAATCCTGCCTCCAGACCGAACCCAGCTGATATTATAACAAGGTATAAATTAAATATTTATAATCTTCCTAATATTGTAAATGCAAAAGTTTAGATGGATGTTTGTTAGAGTTTGTAGCCTAAACTGCTGAAAAGACCTTGATGAAATATAGTATAGATGTAGAGGATCGTCTGGAAGAACATGTAAGCTACTAACTTTTGTTTTTTTTTAATTCCGCGCAGACAGAGTCGCAGGCAAAAGCTAGTGTAATTATAAATGTTTTTTTTTTAAATCTCAATGATGTTTGTTGCCTTATAAGTCGAGAACAATCAAACAAATAAGTGAATAGAAAAGTATTAACATTTACAAAATACAGGCAGAATTAGAACCAGGCTAATTTTCTTGTCAGAATATTGTAAATAGCTGTTGCTCGCGACTTCGACATCGTGAAATTAAAAAAAATAAAAAAATGTGTCCTTTAACACACTCACAGATAAATTATCTTTCTAATAGTGACAGAATTGTTTTAAAAAAATAGGCTCAGTAGTTTTAAGTTATTTCAATACATACAGAAATACAAATCTTTCCTCTTTATAATATAGTATGAATGTAATATTGTTAAAGCACAAGTTCATTTTAATATATAGCAACGTTTTATTTTCAGATGTAGAAAATTAGGTGGCTATTTTAAAAATGATTTGATAGATACAATGTTGTTCCTAGAAGAGATTCAAATAAAAGATAAATTGGAGAAAGTGAAATTCTTCTCAACATTAAGTTCTTATTTGGACAATTTCCCTGAGGCGGTGTGTGTGCATAAGATTTTGCCTCAATTATTGACAGCTTTTCACTATGGAGACGCGGGATCCGCGGTATTGGGACCAATGTTTAAGGTAAGCACAGTATTATAGTAAAAAATTGTAGTATAAGTAAAAAAAGATATCTACCATAATTTTTACTTATAACTTTTTTTTATATAATATAAGGTGGTAAACGAGCAAGCGGCCACCTGAAACCGCCAAAATGGCGAAGCGACCGCTGCCCATAGACATCCGCAATTGCAGATGCGTTGCCTACCCTTATTCGACGGAGGAGGAGACGCACATAAAGAGGATATTTCCCCTTCCTATGCATCTTCTCCACCGTCAAATCCACCTCCTCTTCCCAAACTCTCCTTATAAGAAAAGGGTGGTAAAGAGAAAGGGACTTAAATTAGGCCTCCGGCACCACACTCATCAGGCGAAACACGGAATTGCTTCCATTTCACGCCTGTCTTCCGTGTGGCCGTGGTATTACACCGGGCGTGCCGGCCCTGCAGTGCTAAAATGTTAAAGCGGGCACTACCACTGTTAAACAATAAAACTTAGTCATTATACAGTTGCATGATGACTTGAAGTTTAAGCATTAACTATATGTGGCAAGCAAATAACTAGTATGATAGTTATTTTTGTAACAGCTACAGGAATACTTGCATGCCAGCTACTTCTCTCAAGGAGACCTTAGTATAGAAATGATCTTATGAAGTAAGTTGTGCCAGCTACTACTTCATTTTATTTTACTGGTATCCCGCACCAATAGTCAACAATTTGACACTGTATATATGTAATTAAATATTGTATTTCAGTTGGGTAAATTGTTGGAGGAAGAGGATTATCAGAAACAGATTGTGCCGTGCGTTGTGAAGCTGTTCGCGTCCAACGACCGCACGACGCGCTCGCGGCTGCTGCAGCAATTAGATCAGTTCATTATGCATCTACAGAATTCTACTGTAAGTTATTGCACCTACTGGTTATTATTATTTACTAGCTTTCGCCCGCGACTACGTCCGTGTGGAATTAAAAAAAAACAAAAGCTGAGTAGCCTATGTATTCTTCCAGACTATCTATGACAAATTTCTTCGATATGCGTTCAGTCGTTTAGACTACAAACTCTTACTAACATCCATCGATCTAAACTTTCGCTAACTATTATGAATAAAATCTATGTTATGGCGACATATTTGAAATAAAAAAAATTGTTAATATCGGCGACTAGTTGCCATATAATAGTGCAATGCAATACAACTAAGTGTAATAATATTCTCACGTAAGTGGCATTGTAAAATTTTCTTTTTGAGAATAAAGTCTTTAAAACCGAATTATATGAAAAATATCACTTTAATCATATCTTATTTCAATACGAAATTTTGTTTTAAAATGTATCTTATGAATTAGGCATTTAAGGTCACAAGACCTATATACGCAAAAAGAAAAGAAGATGCTAGAACTCTGATACGAATTTATTCTCCGTAGCACTTTCTTTTTTTTTACTCTGTAGGTTGTATTCTTGATATAATGTATTCAATTTTTTTAGGTAAATGACCAAATATTCCCTCAAGTGGTGCACGGCTTTCTGGATACTAACGCAATCATACGAGAGCAGACTGTCAAGTCCATCATCCATTTGGCATCTAAACTTAACTACAATAACTTAAACGTCGAAGTACTAAAACATTTCGCAAGGCTGCAGTCCAAAGACGATCAAGGAGGTATTAGGTAAGCAGGCAAAGGATTTACTTCGAACTTAGGATTGACAGTAAACTGTAACTATAAGTTCCAATTTAACAAACATGTTTGTTGTTATGACTGACTTAATTTCATTATGAGTAATGAAATATGATCGAAATGGGTAAAAAAAAAATCCTCAAATGTCACATTAGACTAATTCATGTCTAGAAGAGTGTAAAGGGGTGCAAGGGAAGGACACTGCACGCTGGTGGACCAAGAATATTTGCAAAGTTCATCATCAGCCTTTATCTGCCAACTGTTGGATATGGACCATCCCAAATACCTTTCACAAAATTCGATTCTCCGCCTTCCGCATTCAACTATTAATACAAAGAGGAAATTATTTCATAAACTACTGGACAAATTAAAAAAAAATCACCAATAATAAACTACTTAATCATTTAGTGACATAGCAATATACTAGATTAGCTTTTGCCTTTGATTCCGTCCTCTTTGAATGAAAAAAACAAAAGTGATATCATCTATGCCAAATTTCATTGTAATCCATTCAGAGGTTTAGGCTACAAACTCTAAGAAACGTCCATCCATGTAAACTTTTGCATTTATTAGTATACTTTATAATCACAGCCTTACAAATAAATGTTAAGTTTGTACTAATATTTGCTTTGTTTATTCCTAAGTTTAACTTTAAACCGCGTTCATTTATAAGGCTTTTAATGTTTAGTTTCTCTATGGTTCTCTCGTAACCAGGACGAACACGACAGTGTGCCTGGGCAAGATAGCGGCGCACCTGCACCCGCAGATCCGGCAGAAGGTGCTGGTGTCGGCGTTCGTGCGCGCGACGCGGGACGCCTTCCCCCCCGCGCGGCAGGCCGGCGTGCTGGCGCTCGCCGCCACGCAGCAGTACTTCCTGCTCGCGGAGGTCGCCAACAGGGTGCTGCCGGCGCTCTGCCCCCTCACCACGGACCCCGAGAAACAGGCAATAACCTGCATCTTATTCGTAAAATAAGTAATATAGACATACACTTGTTTATTATATAGGATGCAGTAATGTCAATATATTTTTGAATATTTTTCTTTTATAAAAAGCCCCACACTTACGACACACTATAAACTAAATGTTTTTACGCTATTAAACATAGGGGATGAATAATTTGTAAACATCGTCATGCAAGAAAGGGACAAAGCTACTAACAGCAAAGAAGCAAGATGAGTTACTTATAAGGAATTTTTGGCCAATCGCAAGAGCCTTCGTTGACTTTTGACGATTTTAGTTTTCGATACTTTCAATTAAATGTTTTACAAAGGTAACAATAAAATGAAGTGTTTAATAATTTGATTGGTACAGTATAGAATTTTATTTTCTAGGTGCGAGATGCGGCGTTCAGGACAATAAGGGGCTTCCTTGGTAAACTAGAGAAGGTATCTGAAGATCCAAGCTTAAAGGAAGGAATGGGTAAGAAATTCGGTTTATGTAACTTTTTGTATTTACTAAATAGGTATTTTGTAACATAAAAAAATAGCAGCAAGTAAATTTATATGATATGTTTTCTCAATATTGTCCAGTATAGCTATTACGCTGCCATTCGTATGAAACTTACTATTGTCCATGTTCGTAGATAGTCATTTTCACCAACAATACCTTAAACTTAAGGACTTAAAGCTCCATTTAAAGAGCCCTAGTACGCATTACGTTATCATCAATGTTAGGTTATAATTTTTTAAACATACTAACCTGAAATTTGACTGTTTACTAGTAAATTTATATTTGTATGGTAATATTTTTTGCTGCGTAACATGAGCAAAAGCGCGTGCATGCCTTTGACTAAACCACCGCCGAGCTGTTTAGTCTCGCTTTGATTCCTATGACCTTATATGGAGCGCACACTCTATTTTAGTTATGCAACTAAACAGTTGAATTGGCTGCGAAATAATCGACAATCGCGCGGTTGTGCGATTGTTTAATCAAAGGTGTGCGCCTTCTAAGTACTATAGTATGATGTGTAGAGGCGGATGTGCACACGGCGACGCCGTCGCTTAGCAACGCGGCGGCGACGTGGGCGGGCTGGGCCGTCACCGCCGTCACCGCCAAGTTCTACCGTTCGCACTCCGACACAGCGCGCGGGCAGCACTCCATCAAGTCCGCGCTCTCCAAGCCCGGCTCGCTGGGTACGTGCTCACTCACTTTACGTCACTGAGTGACGTCACAATTGCGTTCACTTTTATAGTACCAATAGATATATCTCAGAGTGGCATCCTCGATTAACCGGGTGAGAGGACCCTATGATCTCAGGATGGATTCAAACGTCCTCGTAGTCTGTGTCAAGCTTCCATCAGCAACGCATTTCTATTCTGTTATCGGGTTGTCGTCGCATCGCCTAACTCGACTTCCTTCATTTGCTTACTCCCTCTAAATACATTTTGTCTGCCATTGTATCCGCCCAGAATAAAAAACAAAAGTAAATAGCCTATATGTTTTTTTCAGACTATGTTCTACATATGTGCCAAATTTCATCAAGATCCATTTGCCATCCATTTAAAATTTATGATCTAAGAAAAATGTTAATAATAAAATTAGTCATATGAAAACTTTGTCATATATCCTTGACTAAATTTATTTGTAGCCATACTTTTACAGATTAATTTTACTTGATCAACAGAATTTAAATATAAAAATGTAATTTTAATATCTGATAATTTTAGAGCAACCATCGTCAAGCAGCATGTCGACGACAACATCATCGGTGACGTCGATGACGTCACTGGAGCACAGCGAGTCCGCGTCCGACTACGACCCTGAGCACTGGGACATGACAGCGTGGGGCGAGATAGACTCTAGTGCAGGTGAGATTGTCACTTCTATTTTAGCTATTACTAGCTGTTTTCTGCGACTCCGTCCGCGCAGAATTAAAAAAAAACTTAATTAGCATCCTACACAGATTATGTTCCACGTTATAGCTAAATTTCAGCGAGATCAATTGAACAGTTCTGTAGTTACTTAGTAACAAATATCCATCCAACAATTATAATTAATTTATCAAAAGAAAGCATAAAAACAGTGAGAAATAAAATTAAACCTTTTCCCAATCTTCGGAGATTAGGAGACGCACAAAAGAGGACATTTCCCTTATGCATCTCCTCCGCCGTCAAATCCACTTTTCCTTCCCATCCTTTCCTCTTAAGAAGAGGGTGGAATGGGAAAGGGACTAAAATTAGGCCTCCAGGACCACACTCATCAGACTGTACGCGGAATTGCTTCCACTTCACGCCTGTTTTCTGTGTGGTCGTGGTATTACACCGGGCGAGCCGGCCTATTCGTGCTAAGATGTTAGCGCGGGCTCTACCACTGTTGTGTGGAGTCAACCAAGCCGCACTTGGCCAACGTGGTTATCTGTGGCCTCTTTATTAGTGTAGGCTCCGTGCCCCTCGGTAGGAACATATAGTGAGCTGATGATGATAATGATACGTGTTTGCCAGGTACTGGTAGCGGCGCGAGCGGCAAGTCGCCGGCCAGCAGCGGCAGCGCGCACGCCACGCCCGCGCTCGCCGCGCTCTGCGAGGACGACTGGGACGGCGAGTGGGGCACGCTGCAGGAACAACCAGTCAGTATTCACTATACTCTGTACTACAATAACGGAAAAACTCCGCAAATTATAGGAAGGGATACATTTGATAGAGCGTCGGTGGCTCAGTGGCTTGAGCACTTGACTTGTAATCTACAGGTCTTGGGTTCGAATCCCGCCGCCATGTACCAATGTGATTTTCGATTTTTTCGAATATTCATATGTACATAATTTACCCGGCGTTCTTACGGTGAAGGAAAACATCGCGATGCAACCTGCACATATTGGTGAAGAAATTCAAAGATATGTGTGAAGTCAACCAACCCGCACTTGGCCAGCGTGGTTGACTATGGCCTAGTCACCCTAACTTTAGGGTAGGCTCCGAGCCCCTCGGTGGGGACGTATAGTGAGCTGGTCATGATGATGATGATACATTTGATAGAGACAGGAATCCTCTTTGTGTGTCTCCTTTGTCGATTAGAATACGGTGACGGTTAAAATACCGGAGAGGATAGGAAGGGAAAGTACATTTAATAGAGGAGGGATGACAGGAAGGGGATTTTCTTTATGCGTATCTCCTTTGTCTGTGGACTGTCACTTTGCTTTTTCGACGAATTCAGAAGAATGATCAGAATTTTCTCGTTTTTCCGAGTAACATAAAATTTGCAATGGAACATTCTCGATGCCGCTTCAAATATTCCAGACGTCTTTTTCGCTATGACGTTGCGATAGAACATTCTGGAAGCAGCTCAACTATTCGACGGGCGTCAATTTCGCTGATCATTAGATGACGTGACATTACGTTTAGAGTGCGGAAGCGGAGCTCGCCAGTCCATCTGAGACGTGGAACAACGCGACGTGGTCGGAGGCGGTGATGTCGTCAGCGAACAATGCGCACGCGACGTACGTGCGCGGCCCCGCTCGCAGCGCGCCCCCGCCCGCGCCCGCCCCGCAACACAGTTCAGACTCGCTCGCCGGCTGGGAGGACACAGAGTTCGAACCCATCGAGGAGAATGCTGACGGTATACACACTGATATCCTATTCTAAATAAAAATAAGGTTTTTAAATAGAGTATAGTGTTATAAAAGGCGTTTTTCTACTTTTTTTATCATTGCAAGTAATTAACCACAATTTTGCATTTAAGGGAACTCGAAATACAAGTCCGTTAATGAAAATTTTAAAGCACTAAATTGCATTAAATCATACTATCATACTTCATACTAATGTTATAAATGTGAAAGTTTAGATGGATGTTAGAGTTTGTAGCCTAAACAGATCTCGATGAAATTTGGCATAGACGTAGAGGATCTGGTCTGGAAGAACACATAGGCTACTCACTTTTGTTTTTTTTTTTAATTCCACGCGGACAGAGTCGCTGGCGAAAACTAGTAATCAATAAAAGTAATCGAAACTGCTTGGCTTAATTCCCACAAACATTTTACAATTTCAGCGAAACCGAAAGTATAGCTAGTTTAAATTTTATTCTTTTTTAACCGTAGAAAACAATGCATCAAAAATGGACGAAATGCGAAGAAAACGCGAGGAGAGAAAACTGCAGAGACAGAGAGAAATGGAGGCGAGACGCAGCGCGCGCGGCCAGGGACCAATGAAGCTGGGCACCAAGATATCCGGACCTCCGCCGCCCTTCTAGTGCCCGCGCATACGCGGACCAAGCGACGCTGGCGACATCCACCCCGTCCCCTTACGTGTACCACTTTTTGGCGTCATTTTTGCCGCCATTTTGTGAATTTGTTCAATGTCTTTTGACATCAAGCACTAAAAGGGAGCGGGTAATAAAAGGTCAGTTTTAGAGTGTTTTAGTATGTTCTTAACTTTTCAATGATATTTGAAAATTCTTACATATTTTATCCATTAATTGCGACATGTAATTTACAACCGCCCAGGTTTTTTTTTTTTATTTTAGTGTGAATAATATAATTAAATCGATTAAAAAAATATATTATCTAGCTTTAATATCGGTATCTTTTACTTTGACTTATTTATGCATATTGTTTTGTTCAATACATTTCTTGTAATTTCTATTAAGCTTGGATATTTGATAGATTTAGGGAATTTATCATAAGTATGCCCGCTCCCTTTTATCTTGTGTGAAAATGCCTTACATCGAGACAAGTTTTCGCGCACCCGCGAAAAGCTGCACTGACCATTTCCATTTTATACTATAAATAATAAAATCGACAATTTTTTAATCTAAAAATTTTTATACATGCTCATTGAAATGTCTGAAATGACAGCTTTAAGGTTAACGCACACTAATCAACTTCGAGAATGTCGAATCTTTTTCCTAAGAAATTAATATCATTGTCCCTTTCAATCGGTCACGGCGAGGCTGCGCGTGGACGAATGTGCGTTAACCTTTAATTTACGTTTTGATCTTGCAAAATGAACGGATTGTGCTTATGAATAGTTAAGATAAATTAAGGCTAAGCATTTTCGTAATTCTTCCCCATCTTTATTAAACCAAATTGATCCTTTCTTATGAAGAATGACACCAATTTATTGTCAAATACAGCGATTTTTGTAATAGTCAACAACTGATAGTCTCTGGTTGGAAATAAAAAAGCTTTGAATTTACATACATTTATTAAATAATAATTCATCATTGAACATATCAAAACGATTATTATTTGTTATTATTATCCAACCATCTTATCAAACAGATTATATCAAGATAACAAAATTTCGATGTGTAATTAAATGCAATTGTCGTGTTTCGTTCTTTTTCTTATGATTCCGTATTATTCGAGGACAAATACCTGAAAAATAACTTTTATTACAATATTTCGACAATTTTTAAGCATTTTTTATATTGATTACTGGTCGATTTTTTTATTTTTTTAAATTTAATTAATTCATTCCTGAATTTTAAAAATCAACAACCACTATATTGTCTTAATGTCGATTAAACTAATTCAAATAAAAAGAAATCATCTTCTAGCGTGAACTGAATAAAATTAAAAATATGTGTAGTTAATTTAATTTTTTGCTATATTCATTCAAAAAAACATGAAAAATGACATGAAAATTATTTAATTTTTATTCTTCAGTCCCTATAATTTATATAGCTTCCAAGAATTTATTTTATCACTGTCCTAAACTGCACTTTTACATACCAACTCTTAAAAATAAAAAATATATATGTAAATTTGATTTGCCCAAATTCTGTATTTTGTGGTTGAAGAGAATTATAAGTAAATAGGTGTGAATTTTTAAATGTTGCAAAATTTTTTACTGCAAAAATTAAATAACAAATGACAAATCGATATTAAAAATTATATTATTTGTGATAAAAGATACATTGTAATTTAGTTTTTGCAGTGAGATGCATGTATTTGATATTGAATGTGTCGTAAGAGAAATTCTTATTCTACGCGCTAATTACGAATATTTACACTTCTGTAAATAAAAGCGGAAAAAACAAACTCTTTTATTTATCCCTTTAAAACTCATTTTAGAGACAAAAAAATGTTAAAACCAGTTTTACTCTCTATATTTTCTATGTAATATAGAAATATTAACTTCTGAGCATAGAAATTGATTCTGATATTTGTAAAAAAAAAAATAGAAAAACCATCTTTCTATAGTAAATATTTTGAGTTAATTCTTCATTTTGTCATATAAAAATTTTTACATATGAAGACAAATTTTTTTAATTCAGGAGCTATCAAAATGTCTTAGTTATTAAAAATGAAGGTATAATAATGATGAAATGAAACAAACAAATAAAGCGAAATCTTTTAATAGCAAACTACAATTGTTAGTAACAAAATGTAAATAACGAAATAAAAATTAAGTACTGGTACATATTTTGAGACTATAAAAAATGCTATATAAACTAATGGCAACAAAATTAAATGACAAGCAATGGCAACAAAAAAAAACTATATGGTAACATATTTCTTATAACACAGTTGTCACATTATTGTTGTAGCTTAAGCAAAAAGCAAAATCTCTTATATGCTAAGGCATCCAAAATCAATTTCACACCCCATCAATAAAATTGTTCGCCGAAACTCTATAGTTATTTTTATTTCTACAATGTTGGCCAACAAATATATTGATAGATAGAAAAATTGACCCCGCAACTGTTATTACAAACACAACTAAGCAGGAAACGCAACAAACGTTAACATAAGGAGTAAAGCGGAGATTTTCCAATGAATTTTAATTGACTAAACAATCAGTTATGAAATAAAGCATTTTTTTCTATTACTTCATCAACTCCGAAAAAATTTCTTTAACATGAGAGTTTAAAGTTATCAAATTAATTAAGCACCATCAGAAGATCATTTATCTCGTAATTGAAAATTTTTTAAAGCTGTTAAAAGTAATATGAAAATTTTACAAAATACATCGAGTGAAACAAGAGAAAGCGAAAGTGTGATAATAGTGACCGCGAGTGCGCACTGACGAAACATTCACACTAAACACGTTGACCAACATATTTTGTGTATGTTTCATCAGTGAGAACTGGTGAGAGTATAACGTTGTTGCGAGCTGCTCGGCTGTGGCGTAACTTACAGTTTAGAGCGCAGGTCGGACGCCCCAGCGGCTAATTGTCAAGAGGGATCCTCGAATCTGAAACAAATGTACTCAATAAATACAAGCATATTACTTAGAAATGTCATGGAAAAACACAATAGCATATTATTGTAATATGGTAACAGATAAGAAAATCTAGCCATTAAGTTGATTACAAACTCCACATGTAAAAGTAATTTAAAAGGGTGGCACTAAATACATACCTCATATTCATAGCGTTAGAGTTACCAGGCTCAAGCTTGTACCCGAGTGTCTCATAGAACTTGATCAGCTTGTCTTTGCAGTCAAGTGACATCTTATAGCAGCCCAACTCCTGGGCCAGCAGTGACACTGTCACCACTATTCTGAAATTAATGTTCACTTAAAACACTATCTTTTTTTAAGGGAAAAATAGTTATTTTATAATACTTACAATTTTCCTAACTGTTGCCCTCTGTATGTGTCATTTACTACAACATCTTCTAAGCGACCACGCTGAAATACGAAATATCATTACATAAGTAATTTTGCAAAGCTAATAGATTATTCTGTTATTTTTATAAACTTTCTTATGTGTATGACTATATTAAGCGATCAGCAAACTTAAATTTATTTTACTCACAAGTGAGCAGTTGTGAATGAATTTCTGTTCCACCGTCAGTGTAGCTGCTCCGATGATCTTTGACGAACGCGTGTCCTCAATCACCGTAACATAATGGCCACCGGACATTTTCATTTGTGTGAAACGTTCTGTAACATACACATTAATATGAAATTAAAAAAAATTACTACCATATTATATAATAGTTCTATATCTATACAATACCTAAACAACATGTGTAGTTCTAAACATGATTCTTTAAGCACATGGAGACAAATATCTTTAATAGTACCCTATTTAAAGACACTGAATATAGTATAATCAGTCTCATATTTCTTTTGCTTCCTTTCTTTGTGGTAATTCAAACAACAATATTATTAAACTTTATTGTACAATGTCTTATGTAATATTAGCAAATTTTGGTCACATCTGTAGTTCATTAAATCAATGGTTTGTCTGACCTTTAACTGTAGAACCAGTTAATATCAAGTTCAGCTAAGAATATCTTAGATTTTTCCATATCCACATCCATCAATACGTAGTTAACTTATAAATATAAAAAATATTTTATTGAGTTACAATTGCTACTAATCCTTCTTTTTAGATTTTTTTAAGAGATTAAAATGGATGACAATTTAATTTACACAGGAGTATTAGTAGTGGAAACTTATCTTTACATTAAAAAATACTATACAATGTGTTTTACACAAGGTATAAACCATAATTTAAGTGTTAATTAATTCTTAGTAGACCAATTGATACACTATCAAACTACTTCATAATTATCTATACATTATTTTATCATTATGAAACATAATACATCCATTAAACAATATTCAAACTAGTATAACATAAAAAAGAGATATTGAATTATACAACCATTTGAATAAACAACTTAATCTCACTTTTTACTGAAAATGCATTCAGTGTTTAACTATAACATAATTGTACTTCCTCTAAACCCAAGAAGGTATTAAGAAACAAATAGTAATGACAAAGAAAATATCAAATAAATGATAAATGTAACATTTGCTGCCTTAATATGAATACATAGAAATTATCATATATTTTGTATGAAATAATTTACGCGAATTCCAGTGGCTGCTTGCTTGTTTGCCACCATATAATATTAAAAAACAAAGATTCAGGTCACAAGTAATCATATCAATGCAATGACCATTAAAATAGTAACCAGGAAGACAAGGCTGTTGTAAAACTTGTCGCGTTCATTTAAGGTCACGTCGCGACGCCGTCAAAGGCCAACATTCCATAATAGAAACTGGTTTACCTATCAAATTATAGTAGGCTTACCGGACCGTAAAGAATTTAATTAGTTTCTTTTAAGTGTAATGTTATAATTAAAATAAAAAACAGTGAAAGGTTTTTTAATTAACACATATACACACAATATGCATAGATTTTTCTTTATAAACTAGATATTTAAAAGAGACAAAATGTAAAAATACTGATGAGATGATCAAACCTTTTCAAAGTAATTAAATTCTAAGTCTACTAGTGCTAAAATTAAACTACTTCATAGTTTTCAGTTTTAAAAATAGTGGGACCAAATGACTTCCAAAAAAAAAGAATCATAAATCTGATCATACATCACAGAGTAATTAATGTTCTTATGTACATAAAAAAAAAAAACATAAAATCAAGATCCTCCTTTTTCTAAGTTGGTATAAAACACCAGCTACTTACCATCAAACTGTTTTCTTGTGATGCTGCCAGTGCTGGTCAATTGGCTGAGCAACTGTAGGAACCCTTTGTCAAAGTCTGCTCGCTGCAATGGTCTCACTACCATCCATTCTGCACCTGGATTTGCTGCACTGATTTTTGGTTTGAAAACAGCTGGGCTCTTACTGAAATCCAACTTTTGCAGTATATCTGGATTGTACAGATATTCTGACATATTCCGGTCCTAAAAATGGTCAATAGTAATTAAAAAATTATAAATTAATTAATCAATGTTATTTTTTACAATTTATTTAAAATATATTCCTATTACATTGTAACTTAGTACAAATTAATATTTAAATATTGAATAAAAAAGAATTTAATACAAAAAAATAATTGTCTAATAAGGCAAAAAAAGACAAACATAATTATTTTATTATAAATTAAATTACAAAAATATAAATGAAATTTTACCTCATTGATATGCGTTTGCATACCCATTGTGAATAATTTTTATCGTCTGTTTTATTAATCTACCTTGATTAACATAATTCAAATGAAAGATCAACCAACTTCAATTACGATATGCGTTTAGCTCTCGGTTCGGTATATAACTCAAAAGTACGTGGCAAAATATAGTGTCCACTTATGTTGAACTTGAATATGACTATCAGCTATTGGTTGACTATTGTAAATATTGAAATTCCCATAACGTGTATTGGTCAACTACGTACGAAGGTGAAAGTAACAATCACCACACTATACCGCAGTCTCATTTAACAACTAGACGTAACCTACGCACAAATTGGTATTATGCAAGCTTACTATTTACATGCAAACGTATAAAATTGTATTTCAACATCATTTTTCGTTCCATCAATCAAACTCGATGTTTTATTAATGTCAATGTCAAAACGTCATTCAGCTGACAAAACTATAACGTTTATAAACTACACGTACACGTAGTCTTTAAGAAATGTCTTGGATGGAGGATGCACAATTTGTAAAAATATATCTTACATTAATGGGAAGAAAACTTCTTTAAACGCGTATACAAAGGTTAAGTATTTTATTAAATTTAAGTAGGTATTTTTACATGTTTAATTACTCGTATAATACCGGACTGGGCAATATTGATTGACCAGATAGACGTCAAAGTTTGTTTTTAAAAATTTTGAAGATTGAGGTTATAATTTTCAGGATAAATAATAATATCAATTAATTAAGAGAATTAATGACACTTCTAATAAAATACAATATGAAATAATTTACTTGTAAACTACATTGAAGTTGTATAATAGGACGTGCAAGGGTCTTTTCTTTTTTATTACAAAATGTCTATAATATTTAATAAAACATTGAAAACTGTGATTTATTTTCGACATTATTCAGTATTATGTAAAAAGTTAGATAATAGGCCGATATTAAGCTGCATTGCACAATCTTTTGTACCTGTGAACCGTAATTTATTTTGGGAAAAAGAAAGGAAAGGCGGCTATCAAACTCAGGAAAATGTCTCTTACATTGAACACATGAAAAATGGTTATAAAGAACTTAAAGTTGAACTGAAACTGTTTGCTAAAGAAATAAAAGAGTTTTTAGAAGCAGATCCACTGTTGGTAGCAAGACCAGGTGAGTATATTAAAAAAAAAAAACTAAGAATCAGAAGAGCATACTCTGTGTACTATGAATATTATACAAAGATTTGTGTATTTGTATGTAACAAATAAAATCATAACTACTAGTTTAATCTCAAAAGTACTCTCACCAATAGAAGTCTAAATAATGTAAGCTATATTCAAATCTAATTATTTGTAATTCAGCACAGATAATAATTATAATATTTAGATGCCGCTTAATATCATTAAATCAATTTAATACTATAAAGAAATTTATCTTTCCTTATGTTAAGAAGAAAGTATGGATGAATTGTGTGAAAGAGGATATGCTTAAGAAAGGAGTGGATTCAGATATGACGGCTGATAGAGATGTATGGAAGAGCAGCACATACTGTGCCAACTCTCCATAAAGGATAAGGGCAAGTGGATGATGATGATGTTATTAAGATTAAACTACTGAATAATATTAGAGATGATGAGGGCAAATATTATCTGAATTACATCAATAAAAGTTTTCAGGTGAAACTGATCTTATTTGGTGCTTCAATGAACCTGGTGTATTGGATAACTTTGTGTCAACTTGTGACAGTGACCACAATGAAGGTTTCAGTACCTGCAGCTTTGACATGAGTTCTGCTGGAAGAGCAAACTTTCATGGTTACTTAGATACTAGAGTACCTAAAGATGGAAGAATCAAAAAAGCTGGATACTGTGCTATTAGGTCTAAGAGAATTAGGGTATGTTGAAAAAGTAACTCCTTCATTGATACTATTTGTTTTTTTATTAGAAAGACTTTCTTCACATATTAAATTGGTATATTAGCGCGAAACAAGCACAGTTTACATTTAATACAGTCTCATATTTTACATATGTTAAGTGGTATGTGTAATGATGAGAAGTCTTTCATGAACATCAATTGTACAATTCCTTATAAAATTTAAATACATTGTTCCAATGTTAAAATTATTCTACCTGTGCAAAGTGTTGCCTGCCAGTAACAACATATAAAAACTCCAACAAGGCCATATTGTCTTAATACAGGCCAAAGGTATACCATAACTACATTTTGGTATTACAATATTTAATTTATTTGAGAGAATTTGAACATTTACAGTCCTATAAAAACATTCGCATCTGTGTATCTTTACTGGTATTAAGGAACTATCTCTTAAAAGGAAGATATGTTATTTTTTTTACAGAAATCTTTTAAGCGGGCAAGTACTTATAACTGGAGTCTATATAATACATTAGTCCTGAAAGTGAGAGGTGATGGCAGATCATATTTACTCAACATATCCTGTGAAGGTTACTATGACATAACCTGGAATGACATTTATCATTATGTATTGTACACAAGAGGTGGACCTTATTGGCAAATTGCTAAGGTATATAAAAATAATCAAAGTAATAAGAGAATAAATTTTAACCTCAGACTCAGCTAGTCTGTAACTAAAAAATACTGAAAATGTTATATGTGTCTATCCTGTAATTTTATTACTTGTGCACAATAACATTATACCTTATGATACAGTTTTTAGACAGTTTCCAGATTTTTTTATATGGTAACACCACTAAATATCTCAATCTTAATGTTTCTTTAATTGTAATGGGTACAATTAAGTGTATTAAAAGATTTATTAATATTTGATATATTGGTATTTGGCACTTTCATTGGTCATTTTTTGGATCAAGTTATCAAAGGAATTGTAAATAATTTTTCAGATACCATTTTCAAAGTTTGTATTGGGATCAAAAGGTCGGCTACAAGACAGACAAAGCAGAATGAGATTTGACAAAGTGACGCACTTTGGCGTGTCATGTGGCGACAAAATAAATGGCCCATTCAATTTAGAAATTGAATATGTTGGTAAGAAGTACTTCTACTTCTAGTACACTTCCTACATATTAGGGAAATATTTTATTTACTTGTGTTTAATTCATTATAATTTTAATTTCAGGTCTAGAGTTTGATCCAACTCATGAAGAAGAGTTTGCTTATGAAATGTATAAAACTGATAAATATATAGTAGGAGTGTAACAAGAATTTATTTATAAATTGTTGGTTTTAGTACAATTAAGTAAAATAAATATAAGATTGTTACAAATAGAACTTTTATTTGTCTTTTTATCTTTAGATTTTAATTACATTTAGCCTTTAGGAAGCTAAGTACTGATTCACATAAAGGACTTAATCATACAAAAGTCGTAAGATCGTCCAAACATTTTAGAATGACTTCTTGAATGCCTTTTGTGAGAATAAGGTAAATAAATATAAATAATGAAAAAGTAATTAACGAGAATTGCCGGTTTTACCAAAAGGTAAGATGATTTTAAATTATACGCACTAAGACTTTTTTCCACTAAGAAAATAATCGAGTCTCTGGCTTCCTACGGCAATCGCCCACTAAAGCAACGTACAAACATTATTCATAGAAATAGTAGTCCCTTGCTTATCGTGATTAGTCTCATATGAGATCCGCTAATTATAGATAATATACATCCTATTTAAAACATTATTCAACACTTTTTACTGCGAACATTCCTTTTAACTCCATTTGAGACATTTTGCATACTTGGATTTATCTGTGGTCGATTAATTTGGTCTCTGGCCATTTGCGTCTATAACAATCTGTAATCTGTTAAAATAAACTTCCATCTATGGACTGGACTGATGTCATCCATCGGATGAAAAATTAATTGGAATTTTAATAACCAATAGCGTTACAAGTGAAACAACGGGCGTTATTGTTTTATCAAAATCTTTTTTATCGCTCCAGAGTGTGGATATCTCATAAAGTGTTGTGTATACGAAATATAATAAAATTTTCTTTGTATCCATTCAGTGCAATAATACTTCTAATTTAGTCCATTTTAATGCGTGGGATGTTGACGATTTCATAATTAAGTCTATATCTGTCAACTGTAAGTAGAATCGAATTTTTTTTATCATCTCATAAATTTTATTTATTATAAATGATAATATTTCCGTCTTAGTGACTAAGCTGCGCTGCCCTTGAAGTCGTTAATTTTCTTTTTTAATTTCAGGAGACGATGTCTCCACAGACTATCCAAAAACAGTAGTATTTGGAAATAGTTAATAATACATTGTACGATGTCAAGTACAGAGCAAAATATATTGAACTCAATGCAACAATTGTCTGTGCAACCAAGTAACAGTGGTCCTCCTGAAAAACCAACTCAAGTTGTCACTCCAGCAATCAACAGAAGCCAGCCATCGGCATCTAAAATTGCATCCGTCAAATCAAGTACAGTATCTCCTGCTATTGCGACTATTGATCGCCTTTTGAGCTTGGGTACAACACCACCTCCTCCCCCCGTTATAACCAGGCCTGCAGACATGGACCCCCACACTATGGAACAGTTACGAGCTGTTAAAGAAATGTTAGCGGCTCAAGAGGAAGAAGCTCAAAGCTTAAGAGATATTAATAGGGAATTGCGTAGCCGATTGGAGGAATGTGAAACAAAGATTAAAAAGTTAACTGAACTTAACGAAGAATATGCAGAGAAGGAGAAAGGCCTATCACAACGTGTTGCAGAGAAAGTACGAAATAATAAACAAATGAGCATTGTCATGGAAGAGTATGAGCGTACAATCTCATCTCTGATTGGTGAAAAAGATACAGAAACCAAAAGATGGACGGAGGAGAGAGCAACATTACTTAGAGAGCGGGATGAAGCAGCTGCCCATTTAGCTTCAATGGAGCATGCTTTTAATGATGTTCACACTAAATATGAGAGATGTAAGGTTATAATACAAGATTACAAAACAAATGAAGTAGCACTGAAAAGAACTGTAGAAGAGAACAATGATGCTATACAGAAATTAGAGGCACGTTATGAAGCATTAAGACAGCATGCTATGCAACAATTGAACAAAGCTAATGCAGAGCTAGACTCGGTAAAGAAGTACCATCAGTCCGAGATTCTCAAACTGAATGCTATGCTCAAAAAGAGTGAAGTTCACGCTTCTTCGTTGCAGGAATCTCTAGCTCAGAAAATCAAAGATAATGAAGAACTTACTGCAATCTGTGATGAGTTAATTAACAAGGTTGGTTAACTTATCATTACTGAGTAATTACATTTTCATTTATCTTACATGCATTTGTAATTGCATGCTAAATATTAGACTAACAATTAATATGTAACAAATATTACAAAAGCAAGTTAACAATGCTTATTTACTTACATAGAGGATAATACTGTCGAATTTGTTTGATGCTCTATTACATATTTATTTATCACAATTTGTGCAATCAATCATGTCAATGAGTATTGCACGATTGTGTTATTTTTAAATAGTATTTTAAGTTTTTTATACTGAGACATTTGTTAACTTCAAGTTGTTGATTTACCATTGGTGCTTAACTCAAAGTAAATTATCCAATATAAGTGTTATATGCCATTGGTTTAATTGATATGGTTCTTTACAAAATTATTTGGTAATTATCTAAATCTGTTTATTTTCTGATTCAAATGTCAAGTAACATTTACATAATATTGTCCAGTAAAATAGTATATTTTTAAACAACATTCTTATATGCTTAAGTATAACAGTTTGTGCATAAGACTGTCCGACTGCACCCATGCTAGTGAGTAATATTATTTGTAGAGTACACATTTTGATAAGAGCTCCTAAACACTAGCTGCCATAATAATTATGATTTGAAATTTTTGTTTATGTAAAAATAATAGGATAGTATATGTATTTGTTTATGGTTATTTTGTGTTTTGTGAATATTTTTTGACTCTTAAACTCTTATTAGATATAGTGGAGAGTGAGGCAATGTTTGGCTGAATTAGAGATGACTTATGCCAAAACTATTTTTAAATATAAAAAAGTTTTTGAAAATTGGGAAGTCCTTTTCTTATGTATGTCAAAATCCTTAGTTCTGTTCTTTATCACTTTTTTAAATTACTTAATCAAAATTTCTTTCACTAGTTTTCGATCTTTACGTTTGTTCTGTTTTTTTTTTTTATATTTTCAGTATATTGAATTGAATAGTTATCCTAAAAATGTTTTAGCAAAAAATGACAATATATCTTTTAAAAAATAAATATTATCAGATCTCTAAATGTAGTTCACATTCTTCTAGTCTACACAATAGCAAAGCCATTTTGACTGTCAAGAACAATGAATTAATGGTTTAAATTATTTTCAAAGAGCATGATTGCAAATACTTCCCATAAGCTTTTTTATTTATCAACAGAGAGTAACGCTTTTTTGTTCTTTTTTTTAATTAATTGAAAATATACCAAAAAGATTACATAGTTGACAATGTTTGATTAATTAAATTATTTAATATAATTTATTGACAAAAGTAAACCTGAGCATCTAGTGTATGTGTGCCTTTACAGAGATTAACCTTCACCATCCATTTAGTCCATTATGTAATGATTAATTATTGCATACTTTTCACCATAGATATGTGACCTATAGGCAAGTCTTTGATATGAGGTTTATGTCTAATTAAGATTCGTTTATCGATATGTCAATTTATTTTGTAAATGACAACACTGAAGGAAATTTACCCCAGTAAAAGTACATGAGGCCTTTTTTATCCTCACATTTGAGCTCTGGATTAAACACCTATAGGTTATAAATCTATGTTTTTCACATTTACAAAATTAACATTTACTAGTTGTTAAATCTAGATGTAACATTTAGTGTCCAGTGTGTAACATCAGTAATATAATCATAAAAAGTAAAAAAAAAGATCTCATTAAAATGTCCTAAACATGTATAACTGGATTGTTCTGCTGAATACAGCATTAAATCTGCAATGTATTGCACTGTGATTATATTTTTGTATGAAACGAATTGGTTATCATCTCTATAGTTTTGTATTTTTTTTAAACAATCATCAATCTGTTTAATTCTTTGTCATTACACAAATTTATGCAGTATGTAACATTCCACATAATTATTTTTATATTTCTTTTTAACGTGAAATTCCTTGTCATTCGAAATACTTCACATTCATCTATTAAAGTATATTAGTTTGAAATGTAATTCATATTTTTATCAGCCCAATAATTAGCAAATCCTTTGTATTGTGTTATAAAATTTTCATTACTTTAAGTGTAATTTTGTATCATATTCATGTTTTTTTTTTATGATTTCGATATTTTGTACGTAAATGTTTATTCATGTGAATAGAATGAGGAAATAAATTGATCAATATTTTGTATCTACATTTATTACTTCCCTTTTTTATGCATGATGTAGTTATTGCATTTATTGTTCCTTAATGTACACTAAATAGAAATATTTCCTCAACACATTCAGTGTCACTGCGATACGTAAAGTGAAGTTGGAAGCACTTAGTGTGTTGAGATGTTAAGATTATGATGTTAAGATACAGAAGAAAATATGATGTTTAAAAGTGGAATTGATTACATTATGAAAATTAGCTGTTTGAGCGTGTAATATTTATAACTATAATATGTTGTCCGCCTGATAAATTCATGTAGATATACCATCTACAAATTACTACGAAATTCAATCCACGACCCACGACTATTGGAGTACATATGTCGAACTCACGATCTTTTGTTTATCGGTTATAAACTTAGTAATATACTTTTATATTATTATTTCGTTTCTCGATAAAAAAAACATAAACTAAAATACAATTCTGTATGTAATTAAATGCAAACTATTTACTTTTATTATAGTAAAGATGGCAACGACCTCGAAGGATATTCTTAGATCGTAAGGAAAATCCAGACGCAGTCCAGGAAATGAAACTCATCCTAGTATTTATATATATAGTTTATTTGGAACTTCTGTGAACATACATAGATATAGTAGCTGGCTATTTTACTATCGAGTAGCTTTATTACAATATAATCAGCTAGTTTTTGATAAGATAAATATAGATATCTCATATCTTAATAAATAGATAAACAATACGAGTAAAGTTTAATTTCAACGCTAAAATTAGAAATTGACTCAAGTGGACTCAAACCCTTGACCCTCAGAAGACGCGGACGTCGTTTATTCCGTTTTGACTTTAATCCTATAATTGATGTTTCCTTCATTACCTCTGCAAGTATTTAGATTGTTTAAAAATTTTCAGAATGTCTTGAATTTGTAAAATGGTTTTTTTAGTTAGCGATACCTGAAGTGAAACCAAATTTTAAAATCGTTCTCAAGTTATTAGGTCATATTCGTTAAGATGTATGCCGGGAATTGGTTTCTAGGCCGAGAAGTAAATTCTGTTTGTGTAATATAATGACTCACACAGGACATTTATGACTATATATAGGTTTCAATGTAATAAGCGAACAACCTTGTTACGAAACTTTGAAATAAATAAAACTGTATTTATTTACAATTTTTATACATTTATGTAACTTTCTTTGTGTTTTATCATAATTTTTTCTTAAGAATTTTATATGTATCTTTTCTAATAAGATAGCTTAGCGCTGATACAACTGTGGTCGCGGCTGTGACTCCGCAAAGTATTTGTAACGCAGGATGATGCACGTAGTCAAATACGGGTGAAGCGAGGGTGGTGCCAACCTGAAAAAAGTTTACATGCTTAAAAACTATTGTAAATAATTCTTACATAAAATTCAAAATGAACCAGATGTCACAACAACTCCGAAATATACGTGGCAGTTGCGACTTCCCTAAGATAATTGGAGGATATTAGTTACATGACAGCAAGGAACTGGAATCTGTCTTGTGAAATAAAAGATTCTGTCGTCGAATATTGGCGCACTTTATAAGAAAATAAATAAACGACATAACCCTGTGATATAATCTCTACTCAACGTTGTATTAAAAAACTTCAAACCCGTGAAGGAGAGTAGACAGACTTCAAATTCGCATATCTACGATTTCGTACTCGGTCGTTAAAGTTCCTATATTTATATCAAAACATCTGACTCAAATCGATATAGAATCATCGTGACTTAATAGTTGATTAACATTTGGGTTGTTTACCAATAATAGCTGGATTGCTGTATTCACTTTGCTAATGAACGTGGGCGCCAGTTGTGCAGTGGCGTGCGTCACGTCGAAATATCTGCTCAAGGTTCTCTGAAACAATACATTGTGTCATTATTGTTACTAATAAAATAAATGTTTACATGCATTAGTTGTTAAGGAAAATAATTGAACTCATGATTAGCCATTACCCTAAAAAATCGAATTATTAGTAGATTTACGATAAAGGATTCCTTAAAACTTGAAACATGTAGGAAAAAATTTACGATCATATGTAGAATTTCCTTAAAATGAACGCCCTGGCTTGTTATTTGTTCACGCCTATATTTATTATAAAAATTCTACATAAACGGCAATATGGGTTACATTTATGAAAATGCAATCTGTCGTTTAATTTAAACCGGTTACTTTCAGAGTAATATGTAAAGGACGTCGAACGGGTTATTGCCAATATTTTGTCGTATTTAAAATTTCACGATTTCGTAATTGTCAAGTAAACAGAGCGTTGTGTAATGATTTACTTCGAATTGAATCCAATTGGCTTGTTTGTTCGTTCTTTTTTCTACACAATAATTATGATCTAAATCAGATTTTACTATGTAACTATTCTTAAAACGATCATGGACAAAGAACATAGCAAAAAGAAAACACTTATAAACTGGGTCTTTTCTTTCAACAGCTGTTACAACTAACGTTCATTGTTTAACATAAAACTATTTATGGCTATAACTATTTTCGGAAAATAGCTTCGTGTCAACATTAAAATGTTAAAACATAGTCTATGGTTTGGGGCTTCCTTCCGCGTCCGCATCGGGCTTACTATAAACACAAATCAATCAAGTGACGTAACGCTTTTACTTTTGTATACAATCCTTCGACGACATATTGCTTGACTGCTATATTCGTCTAGAATATTTTGAATATGGGTCAAAGAAGCTAGGAACCCATAGGATTGATTTTTTAAAATAAATGTTGGATAGGCCTAGACAACCTGATTGTAGGCCCCAAGCCTTTCAGTCGGGACGTATAGAGAGCTGATGGTGATGAAATCTTGCAAACTAAATAATCTAAATCTAAATCCTATAATGCAATTTACAATTTCAATTTAACCTCAAAGATTTCCTTCACCTTAATAAAAAATTCTTGGCTCTAACAAAGGTATCGAGCCCATAGACGTTAAAGAACACTAAAATGGCATACATATGAAAATGTACGTGAGACATACGCAGACCATGTGCAGACGTGACCTCATATTGTACAGTCAGCTGAATAAATATGTTAACTTTTACAAAACTTTAGAAACATACAAAATACGTATCTACGTATTTGTCAGTAACATTTAACTTCGGGAGCATGCGGGCGATCATACAATTTTTTAAACCGAAGGCGTATACAACATTTTTTATAATTAACGGGTGCAAACGAGCGGCGTGAACATCGAGGTGATCAACGACGCTCATAGACATCCGCACCAGAGGAACTACAGATGCGTTGCCAGCCTTTAAGGAAATGGTAGGCTCACTTCATGAGACCCCAAATCGTATTGATATGGAAATACCGCCGATAAGATTTCGAAACTTTGTTAATGACAGTACTAGTGTTAGTAGTGTTAGGTAGTGTGCGGTTGGGGTTTCGCTCAGAACGACTGACAGAAAGGGGCTCCACAGATATGTACATTATACTATCATACGCCACTCTTAACCACCCCTCCCCCAGTCACAATAAAAGAGCTCCATAGTAACCTTGCAACAGGGCACCAGTAGAGCTAAAACCGGCTAAATGTATACTTATTTATGTAGCTGACTGTACCAACTGCAAACAATGCCACGCGTTGATACAATGACCTTTTATTAATTGGAATAAAGTTTCAATACGAAATTATACTTGAGATCAACAACTTTACGATTAATCCATGACATTTAAGGTTGTATTTAAAATACCACAATGTTGATGTAAACATTTTTATTTTAAAATACTTACTGTGAGTTTCGAGCTACATTTATATATACATAGTGGTTTGTGTTTAATCTGTACTACTAATCTAATTCAATTTAATCCACGTTGGTATGGAACCCAGTTTGAAGCATAAACATATTTTCATTCACCAACATGCAAATATATGGACAGATGTCCATCCATCCAAACTTTTGCATTCATATTAGTGAGAAGTATGGTTGTCTTTAAAATCCTTAAGAACTTTGTTATAAAGGAGTTAAACACAACAATGTTTAGTATCAGTATTTTTGGGATGGTATATACATAAGGTAATTTGGGGTTTCCTCTAACATGTTAAGATTAGTAATAAAGATAGAATATAACTTACAGGTGGTGGTAGACTTTTATATCTGATCACAAAACCAGCAGCAACCAATGCCACATCTCTCGCAATTATAAGTAGCGTCAACGGAAGTGGTATCAAGTCTTGCCATGTTAAGCAAACAAATAGTGTTGCAACCAAAACTTTGTCTGCCATTGGATCTAAAAATGATCCCATTTTTGATGATTGACTTTTCCATGTTCGTGCTATCCAACCGTCAAGCTAAAAAGAAACTGTTACTTAAAATTAAGTACACTATATATAAAAAAGCAATTGACAAGATGTTAAATTACAGTTATATACAATTTGAATTTATTCATCATGTTTTTCACAGGTATGTATTAAAATTTATGTCATAAAATAGATAAATAGTCAACAATTTAAAAAAAAATTGTATTTCTTATAATTCTGGGTTTTCGACGGCAGAAGGCAACACAGCAAGGTATTGGAATATGTTGATAATATTAACTTTTGGACATTACGACGTTTATTGAAAGTATACAATATATACATTATGATTTTAGAAGGACAAAATAATACTTACTAGATCTGTGACTCCAGCAAAAACTAACAAGCCCAAAGCTAAGTTATAGTTATCCTGGAGAATAACATACCCCAAGTATGGAGACATGGTTATCCTCGCAACACACAGCATGTTTGGTATTGTGAACACATTTTCTCTCTAAAACATATTTATAAATTAGAATAAATCCCAATATTGCTATAATCATAACTTAACAAATTAAATACCTCCACAACTTCTTCAAATTTCTCCTTAACTTTGGCTTTAGTTTCTTGTAAATCTTTAATGATGTAGTCCTTTTTTACTCTTATTTTCTGTTCTGTAATTTCCTTTTGTTGTTTGATATCTTTAACCAACTGAACGCCTTTTTGTCGAATTCGATGTTCAGTCTCTTTTATTTGTTCCTTTTTATGCTCAAATGCATCTTTGAAATCTACTGCCTTTTTCTCTAAATCTAAGAAGTGTTTTTTACTATCTGATGAATAAACACATACTGCTGATGAAAGTGATATTTTGTATTTTACTGGATTATTTCTATTCCTTACTACTGTGTGTACTTTTAGAGTACTATAGGTTTTAAAATAACCAACATGATTACGGCATAACGTTTGTACCTGCTTTACAATCCTAAAGTTTTTGAAGTTCATTACAGAAATGTTTCTTACTTATTTATGTAAACTAATATTATAAATGCTAAATACATTCGTAAAATACTCTTCACTTGTATGTTGTACTTGTTTAGTTAACTTAGATTTATTTAAGCAACTTTATTTTATTTCTTCCCCCAACCCCCAATCGTTTATTTTTGACGTAACTGACATTATACCTGACACTGACGCAAAGAAAGCAAAGAGTGTACAAAAAAGAAAGTCCAAATAAAATATTTTATCTGTAGCATCCAACGTCAAAAGTTAAAGTATTTTTTTTTAAACAATGTTCTTTCTGGTAATCTCCGTCCCTCGGAGTTATTTGCTCCTTAGAAGTTTTCTTTAGAAACAGTAATTCTTCAAAAGTGAGAAAGAGATTTCTACATTTTAAATTAAAGGTAAAAAACAGGTTTTTTGTCATTTTATGTCATATGTACTCTTTGTCTGCGTTTATTGTCAGTGTCAATGTCAATCAATGTCAACAAATAGGTCTTGGTTGTTTGTTTTGTTATATTTCTCTGTGTGAAATTACTGTTTATTAATAATTTATTCGTTAATATACCGAAGAAATAATAAATAATATATTCATTCAATCAATTATACCTTATTTTATTCAAATGGTAAGCATTCCCAACTTTGTTAGGTAACTATCAAATTTGAAACATTGTTGTTATGATTCAGTGGCCCTTTACTATTCAATGCTTTTTTCTTTTATTGTTGGGTTTCCGTGTAAATTGTATATTGTGTCATGATAACTGTTATAAATCAAATTTAGCGAACAAATGGACCTGTGAACCTTATTTTCTCAAAAAATTTTGCTTTGTCTTATCTCTATAGTTCTTTTTTGATACAAAAAACTGTATTGTTCCTATTTTTTTTTCTTTAGTTAGCTAATAGTAAAATGGTTGGTAACAAAATAACAACAAATTATTGATATGATTTATTTAATTTTCATTAAAGGACATTATCTTGTATATACAATGTTGTGTTACTAATGTTATTTACATTATGTGAGATAAAGTCAAATTGCAATAAACATCATATTATAATTGCCTTGAAGATAATAGCTATTTATATTAATAATATTCAATAACTTGGAATCAACTTAAAGTATAAAGGAATTAGGGTAATAAAAGATTATAGACATATGCCTATATTGTCAGGTAGTCTGAAATAAATGTTTTATATTCAGAAATTATAATTTACTAAGTAAGCAGTACTAAATTGAGTTATATCTGTAGCAAATATTCATATCTACAATGTGCATAATCTATGACATATGAACCTATAAATAAAATGGTACCTTGGTATCTTGCTATATAATAATAATGAAGTACATGACATATTTATCTGTTCACAAAGCAAGGAACGTTCCAGAACTATTATGTTTATGAAAGTTTTTGCTTGTTCCAGATAGCTTTAAAACTGGCAACATGAAGGAAGAAGAATTAAAATATCTTCTTTACCTTCTTGATGATTTAAATGAAACAGTATTTGAAGTAAGTAATTTAAAATAACACTTTGATGTATTTTGAGAGTATGTGTACATTTTTTTCCCCCGTAACATTGTATTTAAAAAAAAAAACTCTTGCAGGAAATTTTACAAATCTACTACAATGCTGAAGAATTAAAACCATGCAATGACTTATCTGAAGAAACAACAGAATTCTTTAAGAGAAACCTTAGAAGTAATCCCGTAACCACATCAGAGATATTGACATATATACAAGAACAAAAATGTGAAAACAATTCAAATATAGATAAAATTCAAACAGTATATTTAGATGTTTTGAAACATGAATTAACAATTTATAATAATACAGATAGATTGGTCACCTTACTGTCTTTAATAAAGGTAAATAATAAATTCTTGCCTAAATTCATAAATGAGGTACTAAGACCTTTATCGGAGGAGCCTTTAAGGCAATATAGGAAGCAAATTTTGCTCAGTCTGATACCCCAAGATAGACCTGAAATTTTAAGCACAATTTCAGATTTGATGCATAAAAATGAACCTCAGAAGGAATTTAAATTGACACCAGAGTATATGCTCGAATTATGCTATCAGGATAAAACACACTGGTTGCTAAAAGCGGCCGAAATATACAAAGAACAATTGCACGATATGAAAAATGTCACGTTCAAAATAAACAATTTCACTAAACAGATTATAATCATGGTGCTTATTGATCTCACTAATTGTCCAGAAAGCTATGATTTACCATCTCTAGTACACCAATTAACTAATATATTTTCAATCCTCGAAGCATATACAACAACCGACCATCAGTTACAATTCTACATAACTGAAATTAAAAGAGAATTAACGGTGATTAAATTTTGTCTAGAAAACAATTGCAAAATTATGACCACATCTATTTTAAGCCAGGTTTTAACGCAAAGCGCTTTGACGGTGATATCCCAAGTGTGCAGGCTCTCCAAAATAGATCGATATAAAGTATCAAGACTGTTGAATACAAACAACGATTTTATATCAGAGTTAGTGACATTGAGTGATAAAACAGTTGCCAAGAACCAGAAACCACTAAGCGCTAATTGGGACACATCGACGTATAACAGTTACTGTGCGGTCACAAAAGTAATAGACACCATACTCAACTCTACCGAAGGAATAGAGAATACGCAAGACATGAACGTGTCTTTAGAAGATATCAAACGTTTAATTCTATCGATCCAACCTCTTCATTACTGCATCGAAGTTATAGAGACGATATATTCTTGTTTATTTCTACGCTACGAGTATTTCTCGTGCTACGAACACACACAAGACTTACCTTGCGGCACCCATTCCGAATGCTCATACTTTTATTCAAAAAAGCAAAGTAAGCAATCAAAAATATTCAACAGTTCAAGTACTGGATTCATGTGCAACTCGTTTACAACTCAAGTCATATTAAACACGTTAAAAATCTGCTTAGAGACATTAGCTGAGAGAAAAGATAATAATAACGAGGATGTGGCTCCTAATATCTCAGCGAGATTTAAAAAGATGATCCAAGTGGTGAATCATTCTATTTGGAAGTTGCAACTGGTGTCGACTCTCTCGCCCGACATTAGTCCTTTACAATTAAGATTGTGCTTAGATTATGTAGAGGTGGACCAAAGCAGCGATGATGAAGACCGAGAAATGGAATTAAAGGCAGCAAGAAGAAAACCAAAAGTGAGAAGACGACATACCAACCCTAGACCGGACGCAGAGCACGCTTTACTCGCGTCTACTGTCTCGGCGACTGATGATGGTATGTTAAATGAAGAGGTAGTACGTAAAATGTATGAAATGATGATGAATTTAGCTTTTTTTTTGCAATAATGAAATGTTTATATATTTCAGCGTATGTCACGAAGGAAAATAGTATTGACTTCATATCCATAATGTTGGCTAAACCGAATTGCTTGGTGGCGCTTGCACTGTATCACAACGACTTTCCGAAAGCAAATCAAATTTTAGAGGTAAGCGTTCATTTGAATAATCTCTTCTCTAGATTAAAATCTTGTTTTTATATCGTTCTTATAATATGACCAAACTTCTCATAGCTCTCTTTCTCGCGTTCACTCGCTTCGTAGCAAATAACTCCGGAGTTGGGTATATTTAATACCCCAGGCGGGTTCATGACGTAGTATTGCTTAGCGTCCTCTATAGTACGTTGGGGTTGCAATAGCTTGCAGCATAAGCAGCAACAGCACCAACCTGCAACAACAGTCACATCAATTCACCACATGGTAGATCTTTTTGAATTCCAAAAGGCTTTCTAGTCGTCGTCAACTATCTTTTTTACCTATAATACTGTCTGTATTATAGGTAGTAAATGTTTAAAAAAAACATAGAGTAAAGTATTTGTTTTAGTTTATTGATACTGACCTTTAGTACACCACAAAGGCACAGCTACAACTAGGTAAACGACCAGCCATATCTTTAAGTTGTTCCACAGTCGTGCTATTATTACTTTTGGAGATTGTCTTAACGTTTCATTAATTAAACACATTACATCATTAACTGCAATGTGACTTCCATCGCCATCTGCGTAAATACAATTCTGATTAATACTTCCTTAGATCATGAAGAATACGAACTCTGTCTTTAAAGATTATTAAACGAATCATTCGAATTTCAAACTTGGAAATGATATACTTCTGGAATATTTAGTACTTGCAGTTGCACGCGATTTCACCCGCGTGTTATTAAAAAATAAAGCCTATGTTACTCATAGATAAATTACCTTTCTAATGGTGAAATAATTTTTGAAATCGGCCCAGTAGTTCCTGCATGAATCGAATACGTACAAAAATACAAATCTTTCCTTTTATAATATCAGTATAGATTTGTAAATTTTTACGTTATCCAACTAACCTTTGGTAACGATTCCGTCTGTATTATCCGATCCTATGTAGTCATTTAATAGTTCATCGTAGTCATAGTCTATTTCTTCAGCTGATACTGTGATATCTCTTTTATGAACAATGTGATTTGTTGTCTGAAATATTTCGTATTAATTTAACCGATATATCTATGTAGAGGATGTGCATTCGAATCATATTCCGTGATCCACTTTCATTGCATTGATCTCAAGTATTATGTACTAACATTTTCAATACTTGTATTGTTGTATTTATCAGATTTTTTAAAAATATCCGTATCGATATCCAGTATTTCCTCAGTCGGAAGTGAAGATTTAGTTTTATAATATTCTTCTTCAGCTAGTCTATAATAATCACAAAATTATGTACAATACAAACGAATTTCGTGATTAACATTGCAGTTGGAATTTCCCACGTAATCAAGTAAAATAACAATCGTCCAGTTAGAAGCTTACATTACCTATTTAAATCGAATAACATTTCGTTTATGTTTTCTATATTTATATCCTTGCTATCTATCATTTCATAATCGTCAGGGCTTAAAAATTCTTCGATAGAATAAACTGCACTGTCTTTCATCAGTATGTTGAAAGAATCTTCAAAAGTACGACTCTTTACTTGTATTATATTTGTAAATAGCATTAAGACAAATATATTTCTCTTAATCATTTTTATCTTATTAAACTAAAAAACTTTAAAATTCTAACATCAGAATGTCAAAGCGACTTTTTAATGTTAAAAATTTTGACATTTCAGATTTACCTCTCTTGTTGTAAAGGTTCGATAGGTTTTGTTTTTTATAATTTTTATATTATTTATTTCTGATGGGCGTTATTGTATTTTCAGATGTTCGATTTGGCTGATTCAGAAATTGCTACAGAAGTTCAATTCACGGAGCAATTACGACATCTGGTAGCAAAAATTAAAAACATAATTTGCTACAGAGACAACATACGGTATCCTACTAAGGAACTGTCGGCGTTGTCTGTCGTATCTACAGAGGTGATGGGGCTAGTTGAAGGATTTCTCGCATCGAATCGGGCACCAAATTCCTTCGATATCATAGAACTGGCTGCACGTCATCCGCACCTCCAGCTCTACAATCACCAGAACGCACCGTTCATAAATGCCGTAGATATTTTGCTGAGCAGTGGACTCAACAGAGAAATTACCTATGGCCTCATCAATGTCGTCGAAAGAAAACTGGCCGAAGTCCGATGCAGCACCGACGTATCCGCCGTAAAGAAGACTAACTATATTCGTTTCGTCGAGGACGTTGCCAGTGTTACCTTCGAAATATTCGGCAACACTGAAAAATCATTCGATTTCGTCGACAACATATGCGGCTTGATCACCGACTGTCGGATACCCATCAAACATAAAGAATTCTGCAAATTGAATCAACTATCGAAAGAATTGAGACAATCGTGTCAGGATCTCGAGGATGTTGTCAATCCGAATCGAGGATCGTATGACGAGAATCTATTACAGAAATACCATCAAATATACATGAATGTCGTCGCCGCATCTGACAAAGATATATGCAATATCGCCGAGGTATCCCACAATGGGAACAAGAAAGCGAGAGTTCATTACCTGCGAATGTGCTACATGTACACTAAATCCGTCTCACAGTTAGAGCAGGAAGACAATCGTTCGACAGACTCCGGCTCAGACGCTCCATACTTCGTTATATTGGAGCGACATCTACACGACATTTTCGGAAACATGATCAACAACAAAGACATCCCAGTCACATATCTGGAACCGATTTGCAAAAAGTTGAACGTCAATCTGATACCAAAGCTTATATTAAACTTTTGTCCTTCGATTACGTTAGTCGGACCTCAGAAAGAGGCTACAGAAGAGAATTTCAACAATCTACTACAAGTCGTGTACGATTTTAAAAATCCCGAGGAGAATCTATTTCTTGAGCCGACGGCAAACTTTGCTCCGTTGCCGAGGTCGCCGGATACACAATGTCTCACATACATTGTGTTACATAATTGGGTTCTAGCTCATATCATAAAGAAAATACATACTTCATTAAACGAAAGCAGCATGCAACAGAGCATAGACTCTCGCACCAAATGTTTGAACAGATATATGGATCTTGAAAGATTCGAGCGCACGAAAGTGTTATTCGATGGTAACAAATATCTGGCGTCGCTCCATACCACTATCGATTTGGACAAACTATTTTTATTTATGCCTAGATTATTGGAATCGGGTAAGATTCTCCAATCTTTGAAGATTATTGACTCATTGTCCGAAAGGCAATTATTGAGCAGCGCGAATTTGCTCAATCTGAGGGATTTAATTCTTTTCAAACTGGCTACGAATCCCAAAATGACCAGTAACTGGAAGCATTGCCAACACTTGAAATGTCCAGAATTAAAGTTAGATTTGATTCTCAATAACTTGAACTGTTGGCCGGCAGAGGGTGCAACGGAAGTATTGGATTATTTGCGGTTCATTTTAGATCCCATCGCTGTAGAAGAAGGACTATATGAGAAATGCAGCGATTGGATTGTGAAAATACCTCTATATGAACAGGTAACATTGATTTAAAGGGACAAGTATAATTTGCTTTGACATAGTTGTCGAAAGAATAACATTTATTGTGGCTTCAAAATAATAAGCTTTGATAATTATTACAGATAGCGACAATCATGGGAGTTGGCCATTGGTACAATGTGTACGAGATGTCTATACAAAATCCGGAAACAATTATAGAAATATTAGTAGACAGCCAACAGGTAAGAATGAATCACATTCCAGGTCGTCAAAGGTAAGAAAAAAATAATCTTGTATTTATATTTTTATTGTAATTTCAGTTCAAGCTGTGTTTGGAATGGGCTGATGTCCACGATGTGTCGGAACACATGAAGAATTTGATCGTTGTGAATCTTTTACGACAACTCTTTGAATACACGAACCAAGCCACGCCGGATATGATCAGAGAACTACTATCACGGCTCTCGCCATCACAAGCAAATGACCTCATACAAGAAGAGATGGCCAAAGTACGCAATGTAGAGATCCTTCAAGTGTGCGTAGATTACATCTCCGAAAATTCCTACGACTGGAAATCCTTCGAAAACATCAAAATCGGCCTACAAATAATGCTCGGGATCAATCCGAACTTGAGAAACGCATTCTGGGATCTAATAGAAAATCCTCTATTAATGATCGAGCAGTTTCTAATGAATGGAAAATTAGAAACTCTAACTGATGTGATAAATAAAATAGCACCAAATCTTAAGAAAGATCCGAGCGGTGATAACCTCTATTACAATATAAAATCTATTGAAACATTGGTGATATCTCGGAACGCTGTAGACGCGCTACTTCGGTATTACGCGGAGAAAGCTTTAGACATGAGGAATCCTAGAAACGTGTCTCCTACACCTTTGAAGCCGTGGGACGATTCTCTTCTTCAGTCTATAGATTCGATAAACCTGGAGGCTGCTTCTCGTCCGTTCCTGATGCCGGAGCAGGTGCCCAGCAAGGAGCAGTGGGTGGAGGACCACACCACGGACCGTTGCATGATGTGCAAGATCTCTATCTTCTCTATGATCATACGGCGGCATCATTGTCGACGATGCGGACGGCTCGTTTGCCACGCCTGCTCCAGACATCGGATGCATGTAAGACTTGTAGTATAGGGAATAGAAGTTAGCACGACGGGAATAAGAGTCCTCTTATGCTTGACGTGCCAACATCTTGGATAACGAATGCTTTGCATATTACAATTTCTTCACCTATGTCGATATTCAGGTCCCGACATACCCCAGTGGTGTGAAGTTCCGCGTCTGTGACGACTGCTACACACAAACGATGAATCGGCGTCCGAACACCGACCAGGACAACTTGATTCTCAGCAGCCACTCGGACTCCGCGGGCAGCGCGGTCACCTGCATGGACTGGTGCCTCTCCTCCAGCGCGGAGAAGAACGAAGCCGTCCGCAATGAATTTAGCTACGAGTTCACGCCTAACGTCACACTGTGTCTCACTATTATGAAGATGCATTCACCTAATTTGGATTATCCAAGGTTTGTAATTTAATACTACTGGTATCATTTTTAAAAGTGTGATTTTTATATTTTACGAGCTGTCGCCCGCAAACGTCGTTAGCGCGAATTTGGACCACCCGTTATTTTGTTTTTCTTTTTAACTATAAAATTCTACAGATGATAGTAATTCGTTGTATTCATATTAGCGGTATCATAAGGCGATAATCACAATATCCAGGTTCCTGTTGGACCGGAGTGACGAGGTGGGCCGGGAGCTGACGAAGGGCGGGGACGCGCGGCTGCTGGTGCAAGCTCGCCGCTCGCTGCTGCTCGCCGCCGCGGAGCTGTACTCGCGCACGCCGCAAGAGAAAACGTAAGTCTTTGTCCATGTAGAGTAAATATCACCTAACGCGAACGCTGAAATGTTAAAAAAACTCTTTGAAGCATAATAAGCGGCTTAACCGATTTTAATACAGTTTCTCTATTGTATAAGTTTCCCTTTATATTTTAATATCAATGTTGTTATAAAAAGGAGATTTGTATTTTTGTACGTAACGAGTAAACTTAAGCAACTTTTGGACCGATGACAAAAAAACTATTGCATTTAGAAAGTTACATGATAACTGATTTTCATGACACTTTTCTTCTAATGTCGCGCAAAAAAAGTCGCACTCAAAAGCTAGTCGTTACATAAAAAGTTGGAAGTCTGTGGCTAAGTTTTAGAATTTTCCTAGCTTTCCTCAGCGACTCCGTCCGCGAGGAATCAAAAAAAAAAGTATGTAGCCTATGTGTTCTTCTAGTGTATACTTTGCATCTGTACCAAATTTCTTAGAAATCCGTTCAGCCGTTAAGGCTACAAACTTTAACAAGCATCTATCCATCCATCCATCTAAACTTTCGCATTTAAAATACTACTATGAAGTATAGCTAGTATGACTAGTGTGATTAAAAGTTCCGCGTCATTATTTCTACTCGTATCATGTTTATTCCATTCTATATATCCTTTGACAACATACTCACGTGTTAGTGGTGGGTCGCGTGTGTCGGAGGCGGGCGCGGCGCACGCGGCGCGCTGTCTGGCGCACGCGGACGCCATCGCCATGCTCGTGCGGCACCAGGCGCATCACCTCATGCCGCACCACCACGCACACCCAAGTCAGTACCGCATACATATATACACTGCATATACTGCATATACTGCACGAACACGATAACATCACACCTCAGTAACTGTACACGATAACAACGATTTAGTAAGTTTGTACGGTCTAAAACAATGTAACAAAATAACTGATAACGTGTTTATGAATAAGAATATCTTTATTGCACACTTACAGCCTTACAAATAAACGCGGTATAAAGTTTAACTTAGGAATAAACTGAGTATACGCAAATATTACGTTATATTAATATAATAATTTTCACTTTATATCGCGTTTATTTGTAAGTCTGTAAGTATAACTACATCAATCAATGTTGCTTTGGCTTCTTAACTTAGATTCCTGTATTTAAGAATTAACTTCCCTTACAAAATTATACATTCATGTTTAGTGTAAAACAACATGTTTTTTTTCTTTGTTGGATTAATTTAAGGGACTTTCCTTGTTCGCTAATTAGACAGCTTTGTAGACTATTTAATACATTTCTAACTGTACGTTTTGCTTTGCCTTTCCAAGGAGCATCTGGTAAGTAAGTAAAATGTAGTTTTAAAGTACCTTTGTTTCTATCTTTGCATTCCCCTACTTAAATGTAGAAGTACAATTTAAACTGGCAACTTTCAAAATTTAAAGTATTCTATAACTTCAACAAATAAAGTAACATATTTCATTTTTTTTATTTAAACTCTACGGACTCTTGATACGTTCTCTTATTTGCACAGTTTGTCTTTTTTTCTTTTTAACATATTTCATTGTGCTTTTTATTTTAGGTCAAATAGTACGTTCGCTATTAGAAGCTGAAAAATGGGATTTAGCTTTAGAAATAGCGACAAAATCAGGTCTTCCTAGAAACAGCGTACTCGCCGCGTGGGGTAAAGCGTGCTTAAAAGCGGGTTGTTTTAAAGAAGCTCGTAAGAAATTCTCACATTGTTTCAAAAACACGTTTAATGTGCCAATAGACGAAGACTTCGAGTATGGCAAAGAGGCTTCCGAAACACAATTTGTGAACAAACGAGTTAATACAATGAGAATGTTAGATAGAACCGGTTCTATGTCTAGTATACAATCTGATGGAAGATCTGAAGGAAGGTCTAGAACGAATCCGCCATTGCTCAATGAAATTATAAATATATTAGAAGATATGAATTATCCTGTCAATCAACAGCTGTTAAACAAGGCTGAAACTATTAAGGTACACATTTATGCATAATTTAATTCGACTTGAATTTTAAAAATTATCATTTTCCGCAAGACACGTTAGTTGGACACTAAGGTCGACCATTTGGCCATTCTGAGTGCGGCAGTTAAATCGACTATTCTAAGTTTTTTTTTTATGTTATAAGGTGGAAACGAGCAAGCGGCCACTTGAATCCACCGAAATAGAAAGCGACCACTGCCCATAGACATCCGCAATTGCAGATGCGTTGCCTACCCTTAATCTACGGAGGAGGAGACGCACATAAAGAGGACATTTCCCCTTCCTATGCTTCTCCTTCACCGTCAAATCCACTTTTCCTTTCCATCTTTTTCTCTTAAGGGTGGAAAGGGAAAGGGACTAAAAGTTCACAAACATACTAAAAATAGAAGTTAATATTGATTTAATTACTGTAATAAATATATGAAGTCTTTATTAAGACTTTATACAAATTAATTTCGTAATATAATTTCAGAATACAAACGCAAAACTAGCAACAATGAATACAAGCAGAAAGAAAATACCAATAACTGAACCAGCTTTAAATATAATGCACACACTCGCAAGCGTTAAAAAAATAAAACAAGGCGATTACAGCGACTTCCAAACGGCAACACTACCGCCTAAGAAATCACTCGCTCAAGGTCTTTTAAGAAGAAATAATAATCATCAAGAACCAAAAGTCGATCATCAACATAAAAGACTGGATCCATTCTTCTATAAAGAATGTGTTTATTATCTCTCTAACTACGGCTCTCATGTCGCTAATATACTGTTCTATATGAAACACAGCGATATGGCCGAAGTAATGAGGTATTGTTACGATAATATGGTCGACAAGGAAACTTTTACAGAAGCAGTATATATGGAATGCCTTAAAAAGGATAAGGTGAATGAAATGCTGAAAGCTATGGGAGATATGGACAGTACGTTGGAATTGTGGGCTGTAAGTTTTCTCTATTATTAAAATAATTAGCTTTCAGCCGCGACTCCGTCCGCGCGGAATTTAATAAAAACAAATGGAAGTAGCCTATGTGTTCTTCCAGGCTATCCTCTACATCTATGCCAAATTTCATCGGAATCCGTTCAGCCGTTTAGGCTACAAACTCTAACAAACATCCATCCATTCATCTAAACTTTAGCACTTATACTCGTACCATTAGTTTTGTTTAGAACTTTTATGTTCCAAATTTTGAAAATATATAAAACAGTAAAACACAAAAAATACTTGGTATTTTCGTCATTAAAATCATACTTACTAATATCGTAAATCCAAAAGTTTAGATGGATGGATGGATGTTTGTTAGAAGGTTTCTCTAGAACGATTAAACAGAACATGATATTTGTCGCAAATGAAGAACATAGTTTAAAAAAAATGCTACTGATATTTGCTTATACTTTATACCGCGTTTATTTGTAAAGCTGAAGACTATGCTATTTTTAAATTCCGCTCGGACAAAGTCGTGAGCAAAGCTAGTGTGAGTACAAGTTATTGATGTACCAGGAGTACATAATGCACGTGTGCCGCACGCTGGAGGGCAGCAAGCGTATGGAGGCGCTGTACGCGCTGCAGTGCGGCACGGGGCAGCACGCGCGCGCCGCCGCCACGTGTGCGCTGCTGTACGCGCGCCGCACGCCGCACGCCGCCACCGCCACCGCCACCGCCCCCACACCCACCCCCGCCGCAGCCCTCCTCGCCAGGCACCACCACCTCGCCAACGCGCTGCACCACCTCTCCCAGTGTGTGCCCTCCACCACCAGTTAGTATTGCTTTAATCAGGTTCAAACTGGACAAAACTGGTTTTATAAACCAGTAAACTGTAATGGATGTTGTAAGAGAAAAAGATGATTATTGCGTGTTTACAGATCTCAATGTTAATGAGTGGTTTACAATTGGCCAGTACAGTTGGTCAGTAGCATTCAATAACTGAACTATCAATCGACTGGAATAGTATAAACGATAACGGGCACCCGGGAATCCATACAATCTATGACTTGCCGTCCGAACTGTCCAACTGTACTAAGCATCAATATCTGGACTGCCATAATGTAAACACTTACAGGCGCTAATAAGTCCATACATTCATACCTAGTTTGTGCGACTGGACAAGTGTGAACCGGGTATAATAGTTATTTTGTGTGACATTCTCAATTCTAATTTCCAGAGATAAACGATCCGAAATCCCTGCAGTTTAACATTGATAAAGCGACCATAGACAATTTAATGACGACAATAACGAGACAGATGGAACTGAGCAAGTATCTAGCGGCGTGCGAGGCGAGCAATAGATTGAACGAGAAAGTGTTCACGGAAGTGATACCGATGCAGAGCGCGCACGCGAGCAGCGCCACAGACTACAGACCGCTCACTCTGTTCGGTTCCAATACAGATAAAATAAGACTCGTCGCCATCGTACTGGCCACAGGACCGAGTATCGAGAGCGGATTCGATTTAGCGTTCAAGTATGTGGATGTTTTTAAAATGTACAGATTTCGTACAAGACCATAGACAAGAGAGCAAAGTTTGTTCTGTTTTCAAATTCCGTTAAAACAGTTTTAATTTTTAATTCTATTGGCTATTTTAAATGTATTTATCGTTAAATTAAAAAATGAGTTAGTTTTTTGTATTTATAGTAATTTTATAGTTTTAGCACTTTTTTTTAGTATTAGTATTGACATTTCTTGTTCAAAACATGTTTTATTTTTTAGAATTATAACAGAACATAAATTGGATTCTATGAACATATACACTCATGTGGCCAAATACTTAGTGAATACCGACAGATTTATGGAAGTCAAGACGTTAGCTAAATGTATAAGAAATTCCAAAGAGACTGCTGCCAAGTAAGTATTTTTATTTTTATTTTTCGAACGTCTGACTCCTAATTTTTCTCCCCAAAATAGGTGGAGAGGATCTAATCATTAGGATATAATTAACTGTTAAGGCTCTAAATCGAAACAAAACAGAAGTTATGACCTATCCGTTTATACAGATCAGTGTCAATACGAAGCTGACTTTAATAAAGAAGGATAATGAGTTATTCTTTTTAGATTATCATTAGTACCATCTTATTTGTTCTTAATATTTACGACTGCTTGTTTGATTATTCCCTTAACTCCTACTTAGGCGCGGATTCCTTCAGTGAGGACGTATAGTAAGGTGATGATGTTTGATTGTGTGTGTGTGTTTTACTTAGGGTAGGCTTTAAGTCCCTCAGTGGGTACGTATAGTAAGGTGGTGTTTGAGTGCGTGTGTGTGTCGCAGCCTGATGAGCGACCAGGTGCTGGAGTGGGGCGTGGGCGCGGTGGTGGCGCGCTGCGAGGCTCGCGGCCAGCTGCACGACGAGCAGGCCGAGCTGCTCATCGCGGACGTGCACAGCGTGCCCATCAAGGTATATACTATATTTCTCATAAGTGAAACTAAATTGTTACAGTTACTAGCCTTTAAGACATGTTTTTTGTCTATGTAGGTTTTATGATCCTTCTCTCACTGGGATAAACATTGCTTGACTATATGTTAGAAAGTTATGATAGATGTCAGAATTCTTATATGAATAACGCATATTCCGTTTCATTTAGGTACGAAAAAAGGCGTTAAATCTTTGTCGTGTCCTTTGCTATTTTTAGACATTATAATCGTTAAAACGTAAACCTACTTCGATACTCAGTCTATCGATTCCCGCCGCGGATGGAATGGCTCGCTTATCCTTTAATCCTTCTGCTTGACATTTGACAGATGTCATAGGGACGGGACGTGTATGTCAATGAACTAGTGTTGTGCCGCTACTCGGGCACGGTACCGATTTCTTTAACACTATTGACACCTTTTTTACGTATTTTCGTCCGCGACTCCGTCCGTGTGGTATTAAAAAAAACCAAGTAGCCTATGTGTATTTCCAGACTATCCTCTACATGTATGCCAAATTTCATCAAATCAGTTCAGCCGTTTAGAACAAACACTAACAATTATTAATCCAAACTCTTACAAACATTAATCCATCCGTCTAAACTTTCGCATTTATAATATTAGTATGATTGTAATTCATCCGTTATTTTCCTTGGATTATTAGCATAGGAAAGTCTAATTTCCACTTAGCGGCTGACGCGGTGCCGTTCAGTGTAAATAGACCTTAACTGTTTGTCAGATATCGTGCTACCTGACATGTCGCAACGTGAGCAGCGCGTACATCCTGGCGGCGCGGCTCGAGCGCACCAGCGAGCTGCGCCGCGTGCTGCAGGAGGCGGAGCGCCTCGGCAACGACCATGTACGCAACGCCTGCCTCAAGCGACTCACTAACAAAAACCTTTTACACTAGGATACAACAAAAATCCCTACCAATAATTTCTACCTTGTATCGAAGTTTACAAACATCTTGGCAGTTCTGAACTTTAAAAGCTGAGTAAAACAAATTAAGGGGCGTTGCAATTTCCCTTGAACCGCCAATTTTTTTGATACATACCAAATGTGTATTTCGAATATCATATGTATAGTAATATAGTTATCCAATGTTCTTACGGTGAGGGAAAACATCATAATGTATATCTAAAAAAAAAATCAGAGATGTAAAGTCACAGTGGGCCACCGCGTTTGATTACATCTAGCTTGGTTTTGAACCTCTCAATTAGTATGTTTAGGGAAATTATGCAATTTTCGATTTCAAATTTTAAACTTTGCTCAAACATGCAATATTATATTAATAAATATTTTATGCAATACAAGGTTTATTAAATTTTGCTGTTTTTCTCATTTTAGAAGAGAGATAAGATTTTCCTCATTTCTGCTTAGATTCATGTAAGTTTTATACTAGAATGTGGCCAAATGAGAAAATAGATTTTTTTGGGTTCGTTACTACGAATTACTATAGCGAAGCGACCCATAGACAAACTAAAGAGTAGATTCGTATTATTCTTATTAGCTTTTTATCATAAGTTGTAAAAGATCTTTATTATTATTGTCAAAGATAAAAAATAAATATATTTTGTAATATTTATAATCAGTGTTAATTTGAAAATGTGCTTCCAAATAATTTTATATAATTATGAGATATCGGACTTTTAGCTTTAAGTTTTCAGTAATATAACATAGTTTATTATCTTGGCTTATTGAATTAGCTTAGTAAGTGGTTGATAAAATGGCGGCTTACTATTTATTTAGTCATTTTGTGTATAAAATCATGACCAAAAATACATAAATAAACGACTAAAGTTATTGTCTATGGGTAGAATTTAATATAGATGGTGCTAACAATATTGAGAAATCATAAAATGCTTAAACTTTTTTGAACATACTTGAACATAACTATAGGTACTATTAATGTTATAATTTGTTTAAAGTTTGGAAAACAGTATTAAATGATTTTTTTATTTGCAAAAAAGGGATGCAGTGGTAGTATAGTAGTGTAGGCAATTTTATTTTCAAAAATTATCTGTTACTGGTTTTTTTATGAATATGATACTCTTAAATAAATAAAACCTAGAATGTTGTACTTTTTGATATTATCTAGTAAATAAAGATTAAGATAAAACTATAAACCATTGAGAAACTTTTAACTAATTTAATGCATGTTGGTCTCATATTGTGATAATTATATGTAAAAATGACAAATACTTGCATCTCATCAATTTGACATTTTAATTATTCTGTAATTGTATTTCTCTACATTTTATTTTGATTAGTTTCCTTATCAGACATGTTATTTTTAATCAAATACAGTTTGCTTGTTACCAAGAATTTATTTTATTTAAAATCGTATTATATTTTTCAGAGAGAAATCTTGTGTGGAATAAAAAAATAGCCAACTATGTATTCTTCCAGAGTGTTTACATGTATACCAAATTCTGGAGACACCATCTAACAAACATCCGTATATCCAAATCTTATCTTGTCATCAGTTATAAAGTTTGTAAAAACTTGTAACTAAATAGATGATGCTAATCCAATCAAAGTTGTAATGAAATAAGATTAAGCACTGACCTCATAAAGTGAGTATTTAGAAAGTTGAAAAATTCAATTTATTATCACAATGTAAAGGACTCTGTGGAAAAGATTGTCACCTTATACACAAGTTAACATAAGTATGCAACTGTGTAATAAACAGGTTATAATATAAAAAATTAAAATCTGATAGAACTGTAATATTTTATTGGAAAAAGTTATGTTATAGCCTATTATTTTTACAAAATTAACAGTGTTGGACAGATGATAGAGGATAAACTGTGCCACTGTCACCAGCATTAGTGGACTCCAACTCTTCATTTGCACGAAAGAAAAGCACAGTTCAATGGACAATCCCATCAGCTTATGTATCACAGAGGCACATGTCATCAGTTCACATTCTCCGCACTATCGCATATAACTTCAGTCTGTTAAATACCCAACTTATTGAGCTGCAATTGCTTTTTTCTTAGGCTTCTTTAATCGTTTGAGCCCAGTAACACTAATCTTTAATAAGTTTGTATAGGCAGTGCTAAACTTTTCTACATCTTCCTGATCAACAACTGTTGATATCTTTTTGCTGCTTGACTGTGCTCTTATTAGGCATTTATATTTTGGATTAGGTACTGCTGGTGTACCATCTCGTGGATGTGGTTTTGTCCTACCATCATCTGAAAAAACAATATTCAAAATTAAGTATAGTTTTATCAACTGTCTTTATTAGATAGTCTATATTTTCAGTGATTTTTCTTATAATATTTTCAAGATTCAAATATAAGTAAGTAGTTTAGAAATAGGATACAAAATAGTCCAAACCAATGTTTTATAAAAATGGAAAGGTCCTAACAGATTGATGAAAGTGTGCTCTGACAGAATGTCTGTGCCCTGGTTTTAATCTTTAAAAACAAGTATGTAATATTATTTCATAAACTATATTTCAGATTTTAGTTTTTTTTTAACTTACATCTTTTCATGGTCATTGTTACTGATCCAGATACACGGGCTTTCTGAAATAACTTTGTTAGCTCCGTCAAAAACTGCAAGTAAACGAAAATTTAATCAATAAACCCTTAAGAAAACCTTAATAAGTAATTCATTCAAAATATAAAATGTTTTACCTCATCATTCGTTAACAACACCATGATTGTGACGTAGTTGTAAGCATCGATTTCTGCAGGTATTGTTTATATAACTATAATAAATAATTCTAATTGCACATTTTTCTCACTTTCATTAATTAAAACTAAATTTTAACTTGTACCGAAGACAGATTGAATACACGTTGACTTTACGTTTATGACGTTAACGTCATCTTGTCAAACTGACATTGCAGACTCATTATTCCATAGATAGTATAACAATATAGCTATAGTTATATTCGTATTCGTTTTATGTAAAGTATTGATTTAATATGATTTTTAATATGATTTGTGTCTGTACGTTATACATTTATCATCAGATAGAGACCCAGCACGAAACTTTTGACGAAAGTATTTGCATCTTCATCGATACTCTTGTATGAGATTTGTGCAGCGCTAATATCGGACTTAAAAAAATTGTTTGTTATGTATTATGCTCGCGCAAGTTTCTTAGTTACTTTAAAGCCCGATAAAGGCGCTGCATAAATTTCATACAAAGTCGACTTTGATACGAATTCTTTCTCTTAAATGGTCGTGTGGGTCCTCAGAGCTCGTACAAATATTGACAACATTTTATTTTCAATTTGTAGGAGAACAGTGTAATTGCAACCTTATTGGCAGATATTTAATTTGTTTTTGCGCATTGGTGATTTGTATTCAATACGTAGCGTAGCAAAGATATAGTCGTCCGACTGCTTTATATCATGACTGATAAAGGTAAGCACGATTATTTTATTTTTAATTATTATCTTAAAGTTGTTTTAAGAAAAGTAAAGTTGTAATAAAGTTAAACTAACTTTTTCCTACTGACTCAGAAGGAATGTTCTCATATAATATGTTTTATTTGTGCTTGTAATTGAGGAATTGACCTTGAAGCAATTAAAATAACATTAAAGTACACAGTTGTAGTACGCAACATCAAATAAAACATTTAAAAAAGTATAAGTGCATTAATTACGTTTTGCGATGGTTATTTTTTCAATATATTTTTTTATACTTATGATTTTTCTATTTACCCACAATTTTCGATGAAATCCAATAGGCTAATTTTTGCATTTCTATACATTATTATTAAAGTAAATAAAAACGAAAAATAAACCAAAGTCTTAGTTACAGCGATTGGTTTGATTGCATAATGTTTAACGTTAATACGTGACTACCACATGTACTTAATAATACATATCGTAGAGAAAATTAAGAGACAATATTGTTAGAATCAATTGTAGACTTCTAGTACAAACGCATTCAGAAATTTATATTACCAGTAATATGCATCTGGTATGCAATCTATTATAATTTATTGAGAACAAGCAGTCTTGTTTACAAAGATAATAATAATTAACGCAATAAATTGATAACCTCTTAGTTCCTCCTGCTGATTAACTTCGTTATCGAAACTCAATCGAATACGTTATTTATGACTTCAACTTTCAGGTCCTCTAGTGACCGCAGCGGCAACAGCATGCGCTCTCGGAGCAGCGTACTACGCTTACAATGTTTATAAGGAGACAAGGAAACCCAAGTTGCCTGAACAATGGAAACAAGTCGGTACACTCAAGGACATTTATGTGTACCCTATTAAATCTTGCGGACCAGTACTTTTGAACAAGGTGGAATGCAGTACACTGGGTCCGAAAGATGGATGGCTAAGAGACAGGTCATTTTAAATGATTACATTTACAATATAATTAGATTAGATTACATTAGCCGGTAGAGGTAGATCGAGAAAGAGATGGATGTATTGCGTGAAAGGTGATATGACCAAGAAGGGAGTGGTGACTGAGATGACGGATGGTAGAGTTATTTGGACAAAAACCCTGTGCACCTCCCGGAGTAGTATAAGGTGATGAATGAATAATGAAATAACTATTAATGTATTACCGGCTAATGTACATTACGAACATTTTGCCAAACCCTTCGTTTTCTTTAAAAGTTTCCATATTAGTCCCCTTTCAGTTTAAATTGCATAGCTTTAACGTGTGTAGCATTCTTAAGCTTTTTGATATTCACCATAACATAAAAGATACTGGCAGCTACTTGTTTTTTTTTTCATTTTGTCAGAGTGCTGATGGTAGTAGACGACAAGTATAACTTTATAACGGCGCGCGGATACCCTGAGCTGCTGCTGGTGCATCCCCAAGTGAAGAGTTCCGTGCTCAGCTTGAAGCACGTCGACATGGAGCCATTGCACGTTAACTTGGCAGAAGTAAATATTACTTAATATTAAGTTCTTTCTCGAGATTAATAAAGACGGACGGTAGAGTTTAGAAAGACCACAAAGTAATAATATTACGGTATAATTAATTAACTCTTGTCTTTAGATTATACAAATGAAGACAGCAAAAACTGCCAAGGTTTGGGGCACTACGGTCCCAGTCTATGATTGTGGCTTTGAACCCAGTGAATGGTTCTCGAGGTAAATTAAAATTTTAAAAAATAGCGTAATTCATAAAAAAAGAAGCTAAGAAAAGACCAACGCAATTTAGTTTAAATTTAAAAGGCCGGTTTTTTCAACTTTTCACACTTCTAGGTTATTAAATCGTTCCGGGGATAACTTTAGGCTGGTGTATTACGCCTCACAGAAGTGTCGTGAGATTGCAACTGGTGTTCCAAATAGTTACTACAAGTTCACCAAAAATGATACGGTAATGATCATATCACAGCTGTTTAAAGTATCTTGTTATACTCCCAGGATTTTGTTTGTTTTTAACTATCTTCTTTTTATATGTTTTAGGGCGCTTTACCAGACGAAGTACCTTTTAATTTAATCAATGAAGCATCGGTTAACGAATTGAACAGCCGTTTGAAAGATTGTCAGGTGACTGCTCTTAACTTCAGACCGAATTTTGTCCTTTCCGGCGCGGAACCGTACGCCGAGGATAATTGGAAATACGTGAAGATCGGTGAAAACGTTTTTGAAATAATAAAACCATGCACTAGGTGAGACAAGTATTCAGTTTAACTCCATCTATACTAATATTAAAAAGAGGAAAGATTTGTATTTTTGTATGTATTGAAGTAACTCAAAAACTACTGGTCTGACTTATTTTTTAAATTTACGCGGACGAAGTCGCGAGCAACAGCTAGTAATTTTATAAAGATAAAGGTAAGTCTAAATCTGACTAATGCGCAGCTTGAACGATGGAATGTGTACGCACCTTTGCATTTTATCGTCTACGAAAGTTGTTTATCCACACGAAATGCACATTTATAACGTGAGTGAACTCTTATCGGATTTAGTGGTCACTAGATAAGTTGTTTTATAAGCATGTATTTTGTATTGCTATACTATTGTAATTTGTTTTTTTTTCAGATGCATATTAACTACTATAGATCCGGAGACCGGCGTGCGTAACTCGAAAACGGAGCCTTTAGAGACATTGAAATCGTAAGCGGTTTTGAGAACTTGTTCAGTATTTGAATGTTTATTTCGAAAAAAAAAAATTCTCTTTCATTTTAGATACCGACAAGTAATAGATCCCGAGGAACGGAAGGCAACAGGCAGCTCTCCGCGTATGGGCATTCAGATGTCACTTCGGTCGGAGCCCGGCCGCCTCGTGTCTTTGAACGATCCTATTTACATCCCACAATGATGTTTTAAATTTTGATATTTCATGTAAAGGGTATTTTTTTTTGGAAAATAAAATATGTTTTTAAAAAAGTGTTATTTATTTCCTTAAATTCGTACAATTTGTGCGGCGATGTTTTTCGGGAAATCTCCGCTGTCGGTGACAAGAATTCTTGAGAATGTGCCGCCGCCGGTGCCTTTTGTCAGATGTTCAGGGTTCACAACCACGCAGCCATTCACATCCTACGGACAATATATCATTACTTACTATACATTTAATTTATTATCACCGGAGTCAAAATCAATAAAAAAAAAGACAAAGCGAGTAGTCTATCTGTTTTTTCATACACATACATAGAAAAATGACATTTTTCAAAATTTTACAACTAAAAGCAAAGTAATTTTAAATTTAAATTTAAAACCTTTAAATGCTTGTCTTATAAAATATACATTTTGAATACTGCTCACGATATGTGCCAAATTTCATAATTATCTGTACAGTTATTCCGGAGGTACCTAATAAACATCCATCCATACGTCAAAAGTGTTACTATAATAGGGCTTCGTTATTTTGTGGATATTTGTCATAGTGCACCTTAATGAAATATCTGAAGTTAGATGGCAGCAGCAGTATGTGCGGCGCCGCGGGCAGCTGCGCGTGCGCCGCCCACAGCGCCGCGTCGAGGCAGAGCGCGGCCGGCGCCGGACACAGTGGGTAGTACGACTGCTGACTCAGCACGTGATTTGCTAAACGAGCGAGCTTGTCCCCACCCATACCACTGAGGAGACAAAAGTATTAAATAATTTTTAAATTCATCACGAAAATTTTCTAGGTATATGAAAACCGGGTAATAATTTTTTTCCTCTACCAATATTTGCAATGTCTCTGCAAAAGAATATTTTTCATAATTTCTGCCCTTGGTCATGAGAATGGTCAAGAGAATGTCTTCTTCAACAAAATATTCTACATCAAATTCCATTGAGATCCAGTAAATCGTTTTAAAAGCAATAGTAACAAACATCCATCCAAATTTTCACATTTATAATACTTTTAGATATTTTGATACCAATGATTTTAAAAAAAATATAGACGATTGGCTGTACCAACAATATTTGTTAATTTCTTTAGAAATAACAACGCAAAAGATATCGAACGTTCCGTGGTTACGACTCGAAAGGTACTGAGCGACTGAGGGCTGTGCCACTCCTTGCAAGTGTTTTATAAAACTACCCCCATTATTCCTAACATTATAACAAACTCACAATGATATTTCCTCTTGGCTGATGTGCATTAGTACATCAGTGCTGGTGACGCCGACGAGGAGACCGCCGACGTTGAGTGTGCAGGGGTCGGGCAGGAAGTGTACGTTGGCGTGTCGCTTGCGGGCGCAGTACGGCGGCGTGGGGTACATGTTCACGTGAAACACGTCCCTGGAGCTCGACACTATGTATACTTTTGTCAATGGGCTGAAAAATCACATCATATTGATAACTAGCTGTTGCTCGCAGCTTCGATCACGTGAAATTAAAAAATAGTAAAAAACAGCCTATGTCGCTGACTGATAATGCTTTTAATGATGAAAGAATTTTTGAAATCAGCCCAGTAGTTTTTGAGTATAGAATATAACATAGACACAAGAAAGATGCAATAATTTTTTGCATAGATTAAATTTTTGGTTAAATTAAGGCTGTCATAAATTTATCACAATTTAATAATAATCTCACCTTGTTGTCGTCAATTCTCCTAAACTATCCATTAATTTGTCAAAGAAACTCTTATATGTTTCAGCCATTGTGTTGTCCTTCACTTTTGTGTGATCACAGTCCATGAATGGCCCCGTCATTATCACCAGATGTGGTCTGTGGTTACTCACGTATGTTATAAAATTCTTTAAAGGCTCATAACTCATATTATCTGATGTAGTATATGGTCCAGCCACCACTAACATTGATAATGGACCTAGAAAAGGAAATTATTAACCAATATTAATAATCTATTTTTGCTATAAAAAAAGTAGAAAGTCTTAGGTTAATAATGAATTAATATCTAATTTATAAATCCAAATCCAAATTTAACTAAAAATGTACTAATTGTTATCTAATCTCTGTAATATTAAGTAGTATTCATTGTTTATTTTTTTTAATTAATTGCAGCAGGTATATTGTAATGGGTAATGTAAAATTTGATTGACCTTTTAAAGTATTGATATCGGTTTTGTGGTGAGCGGCGTCGCAGTACACCTGGTTGGGCAGGAACCTGTCGCCGCGCGGGTTGATGCCGCGCATCACCACCACTTGGCCGGGGAACAGCGAATATTGCTTCAAACTGTTTACGACCAGTTCAGTTTTATCAGTCTATTGTACGATTAAAATAATGTCAAAACACATTAAAAGAAATATAAATATTCACTGCACCAAAAGGTTTCACTGAACCTAATATTTTTTTGAGCATACATATTTTCAAGCATCCTAAAATTTCAACATAATCTGGCCCATGATTTAGGAAAAAAGACAAATATACATTGATTTGTTTTTATTTATTTAATGAAAATGTAAACTTTCTTCGGGGAATTGTGCAATGTTACAGATAATATACCTATTGTTATTTATAATTTAAATTATTTAAAGATTATATTACTATGTATGATGGAATATCTCACTTGTCCATATCAACAGTAACAGCTTGGCTGAGGGAGTCCTGCCACGTGCCTTGCAGTATGACACTCTTGGCGTTCAGTCTGGCATCCGCGTCGCATTCTATACGCCCCGCTACTAACACTTCTGTCTAAAATTATTACATACATTATATTCTATACATTTAGGGCGTGGAGAGATCACTAAATGCACAGGACAAAAGGGCACCTCAGGAATGTTGTGAAAGTTGTGAAAACCCCCAGAGTTTAATAATAATTTAAAAAAAGGATACTTGTTGTTAATGTATTTAGCGGTAAATCTTCTATTGGTTGTATATAACACTACTGTAAGTAGCATTAAAAAATTATAAAATTAGGTTATTTCTAGCAACTTGATTTGTGCATACATTGTACATATTAAATTTTTAACAAGATAATATTATCCTAGGTACATAAGTTGCTGCTTCAGCAATAGCAGTAGGTTATTTTGGGGCACCCTCAGGGGTTTAAAAAAAACCCTGGCAACACCCTTACTTACATTATTTTCTAATGATGTTGTTCAAAATACAAAGTTTAATTAAAGCTCTTATACAACTTTCTATAAGATAAGCACTTGCCTGTGATTTATGTCTCACTGAGGTAGTTTCTGTGAGGTTGGCTTTCTTCAGGATACATTGTGAGACATATTGGATATGGTTATCAAATGTAGATGCTTTTTCATGTAACAGCTCGAAACCAAACCTAAAAAAAACATAGGTTCTAAAAATATTAGATAATAACAACTTAATTGTGCCTATGAAAATGACCATTAAATGACTCTAGTGTGAAAGGTATACATTTTAATCTTATAATTTAGTATAGACAAGTCTCTAGATCCAGTAGTTTAGGCTGTGCGTTAACGTTGGCGCGAAAGTTTAGATAGATCGATGGATGTTTAGAGGGGTCTGTCGCCGAAAAGGCTGAACTGGTCTCAAATAAATTAGGCATAGATTGAGAACATAGTCTGAAAGAACATAAAGGCTAGTAATCAAGTTTTTTCTAGTTCCGCTCGGACGAAGTCGCAAGCAAAATATAGTACTAAATTTTAGTTGGATCGACATTATGAGGCAACAACCTGCATCGTAATCTAATAGTAGGTCTCTATAGTGACTTACTACATATTGTTATCCCTTACTTTCTCATTGAAGAAGCACCAACTACATCTATACATATAATAAAATTGGAGTGTCTGTAATATCAAAAGGAAAATTCCCGATTTCGGGAAGATGATGTATTTGCGTTACTGATAACGAAAATCTCATTTAATTTTTTTTGTCAGTTGGAGAAGAAAAGTAGCCTATAATTATAGGCTACTTTTTTTAAATACTGCGCTTTCAAAATGGCGTAACGGGTGATCCAAATTTGCGCTAACGAAGTTTGCGGGTGTCAGATCGTAGGTAAGAAAAGTATCACTGCAGTGGAATTCTACAATATTGAGTGCACGCAAGTTATCAATTGCATGTTATACTTACATAGCTTTTGTATAAATGTCACCATCTTCGTTAGGCACTTGAGTAATACAGAGGTCCAATAGATCATTAGGTCCGTTTGATTTCGCGAGCGTTTGTAGGAGCTTATCTTCACCAAATGAATGGACAACTGTTCCCGGGTTTGTCCTCGATGCGTATTTAGCCGAATTGCCGCTAAAATATTTAACAATTATCTTAAAGTAACTTCTTTCATGTCAGAGAACCTTTTAACTTTATTTGGTATTTTGTCAATTTTTGCATTTAATTATACTTATATTAGATACATTGCAGTTAGTACGAAAAACGATAGATCATAAGAAAATAAAACTTATGGATAAAGAATCAAAACTTTAATTTTAGTATTTGCATTTAGTTTATTAACTGAGACAAAATCTATTTGCCTACCTAAGGAAATAAACCTGTTATAAAGAAGGGTACAAATACATATTGCTAATGAGATTTTCATTTAACTTGTATTTGTTCAATACCTTGGGAAAGAGAGAGAAGGTATATTAGTGTTTGAGTACAGATAGTGGTTTACCACAAACAATATTGATATGGGAAGGAAAACGGCAATATATTGTGGCAGTCGTAATTGTTATTTTTAATAATAACACTGATTGGGCGTTTTAAATGATTGTAAAAAGTTATCGTATCTCTTTACAAGGAAATTCTTAACATATTCTAAAGTAAATAGTTTTACTGTTAAGTCCTTTTTATGTTAAAGTACTTACACAACAGGTGAGTATGTAGCTGGTTGTAACTCTTGGGTTGTTACCACTTCTGTTTCTATCTTTACTCTCTGGAATTTAAAATTATCAATAATTGTGATATTTCATTGAATCTATCACAAAAACAACCATATTGTTATTGTAGGTAGAACTATAAAACAAGTTACAACTTGAATTATAAGTAAATTACAATTCTTTACAAAAACTACTTTTTAACTTTTATGACTATAATTCATAATAATCAATAACGTAAATTCAAGTGCAACTAATGGTACAAACTGTTAATATAAAATATAGTAATAGATAAAATATTTAAATAACACGAAAATAATTTCACTTTTTAATACCAGAAATCATAAAAGTCTTCATATAGTTAAAATTAAGTACACAAAGTGATACATTTTATATCTTTGTCACAATCTAGTCTTAGATGCCTGTCTATAGAATTTTAAAAACTAACATTTAACTGATTCAGTGAAATGACTCTGCAAGTCCACTTTACTATCTAGGATTCCATTCAGACTGGACAAAGAACACAGCAGATTTTTATAATAAATAAAATTAAGCGATCATACAAATAAGAACAAGTTTAAATTTTAACAAGAGCAAGCATTGAGGACATGTAAAACTCAAGTTTATTTAAGATAAAAATCTGCACTGCTCACTATGGTATGTGTTATAGGACCCTTGGTGGCATTCAATGTTTTAACATGATCAGTGTTGAATGAGTTGATGGCTGCAGACGAGTATGGATCTAGTCATGATTTATAAAGACATGAACCAGAAGCAAACTCGCCCACAAATATCATCAAGTCAAGACGCACAAAACGAACCTGAAAAAAATGTTTTATTTTACTGGAAAAATCTAATTCACAATTTAAAAAGAAAACCATGACTGCTACATAGGTAATTTTGATATTTTTTACAATTAACTTATAAAAAAGTGAGTTTTATGTTTCAGCTACCTATTGTCTGTTATGTTGCTTGGACCTTCTTTAAACATAAGAATAGTTCTAGTCCTATAAAATTTACATTATAAACAAATCTTTATGTAGGACCTATTAAAAATACGTAAATAAACATTCTCTATACTAAAACATTACTAAGTACATAATCACAAAATTTCAACTTGAATATTATTAAGCTCCAGTTTGTTTACCCCAACTCTGTATTAGCATTCCTTGCATCATAATAAACCTACTGAATATGAAAGGTAGAAAGTTGCATGTAATTGTATGGTTCTTCATAGCTTCTTGTATTTGTTCTTTGGTTGATAATTCTGCATGTACTCAATGAGTGTAGATCTAGTCACAGGTTGGAAATACTGTGCTACTAGACATATACCCATTCAACACAAACAGATTATGTTTTCTTGAAAGCCTAGTATATTACAAGAAAAATACTCATTTAAATTAGTAGGCACACAATAATTAATTATAATGTATAAAAAGTTACCTTTGGAGTTGTCGTCATATAATCCGAGAGCACTTCGTTATCTGGCCTGTTTGTTAAGGATACATTCGCAATTCTAGTAAAAGGTATCATTGTAATGATTCAAATAACAAGAGATAAAACAATATCACAACATAACCTCTAAGTAAAAGTTTTGAAAGTTATCGATGCGTGATTTTCGTAAGTCGCCAAATATACAAACTTTTAAAAGTCGCATAAAAATAAATTTAAACATAATAACACGTGGACATTAATCATAAAAAGGATACTGAGTAGAAACTTGCGCCCCATAAACCGTCAAACTTGAGCCGGTACTTGCCGCATCATTAGCGACAGCGTTGGGCCTACTTGTTGCTTTGGAAAATTCCTTTTTCTCAAGTAATTTCAAGTTCTCCAAAGTAGGCGGACACCCATTTAAGTGAGTTAAACTGAACGCCATCCATTGCTCAATAAAAGTTTCAGCGTCTACGTTATATTCTTCACACAAACTTACACCTTGTAAGACATGAATAAAGAAACAACCTTGAACATTAATTTCTTAGCGTTGAAGTTTTACAAACAAAACTAACTTTTATTAAAAGTTGGATTTTAATATTCTAGGAGACTTCTAGGTTGACTATCCATAGGTGAATACTAGTTTACTCACATTTTGTTAATACTTCTTTCTGTACATCTATTCCTAAAAATTGAAATTGCTCAGTCACCAACTCTTCGGTAGCCATTTTCTGTAAAATTGAAAGAGCGGAGCGAATGACGGAAAGGAAGCACGAAGGAAGTAAAACCGCCAATCAAAAACTATAGGAACGCGAAAAGTTTGGGCATAGACAAAATTATAATTTTAACGGCCATAATACTGATTTAAAATAGAATACAACAGATTTGCCGCTATATCTTATTTCATAAATACCTATTAGATTTCTTGTTTTAACCGCGCATTCCATGATGGAATATTATGGAAGTAAATTAAACATTCTATATGCCTAAAGATGTAAGCACATCTTTATCAATTATGCTTACTAAGTAGTAAGAAGTTCGTTTGGCATAATTTAGATCCATATTAGGTACGAAATTCGTTTTATCATTTTAAAAGATGTCTTTTAGACAAATTGTTGGTATGGGCAGTATAATAGGCAGCTGAGAATTTAATAATAACCATCCTGTTTGGTATATTGAACAATTAAAAATAAGAAGAGTAATATTAATAAATAAAAAAAATTGGTTTGACGTTTGTTATAGAAATCTTTCGCATAAAATTAAACACTTTTAAAAGTAAAATCTACATCGTAAAGAATGGTGTTTTTTAATAAGGCGAGTCTTTTTATTATTTAACAATATTATTATTCTTTATAGATGTTAGGAGTACTTTATTTTACAATTATGTACAATTACAGTAAGTTAATTTTTCTTTTAAAAACTCATTTTATGCAGGATTTTGTAGCCGTTTTTACTGCTTCTCTTTACATTTTTAGTCCATAGGTAATTCCTCGCAAAGATTTTCCTTTGGGTAACAGTTGGCAGCACCAATAAAAATAAATAATGATTGACAACACCCGTATTCTCTTTCCGACTACCGCTAAGTCTATTTGGACTTCAGGTGTGCTTAATAAAGGCGAAGAATTCAGCGCAACAGTGTATTTAATATCGGAGTAAGCTTCCCGATTTCTACCAGCGTAGCTACAGCCAACTAAAATTAAACATCAAGAACATAAGAAGGTCCCTCGAGCCGGATTGGTCGATACTTAAAAATTGATATTTCTTTTACAGAACTTGATATATTCTGCTAGATTTATTTCTACTAGCAGAATAAATAATTGTCAAACTCTTGTAAAAAAGAAAACATTGCAAGCCAAATTTCAGGTACATATTTAATTCATTTACATATTCGCACTTAACATAGGTCGGTGTATGTATATGTATTTATTTTAGCAAGTTCTATAACATTTTTTTTTAAAATAAGGTGGCAAACGAGCAAGCGGCCACCTGATTCCGCCAAAATGCGATCGCAGATGCGTTGCCTACCCTTATCCGACAGAGGAGGAGACGCACATAAAGAGGATATTTCCTCTTCCTATGCATCTCCTCCACCGTCAAATCCACTTCCCCTTCGCATCCTCTTATAAGAAAAGGATGGTAAAGAGAAAGGGACTTAAATTAGGCCTCCGGCACTACACTCCTCAGATGAAACACGGAATTACTTCCATTTCACGCCTGTTTTCTGTGTGGTCGTAGTATTGCACCGTTCCACCATTCGTGCTAAGATGTTAAAGCGGGCACTACCACTGTAAACCACTGTAACATATAGGATAACATATAATATGAACATATAGGATGTAGGCATTTGCCTTTGGTACAAAAGGTTGAGTAGAAGCAAAGCATAAATTCTTTCATTTTTGTTTTACTATATCTGTGTTGATTAAATACCTGCCTGACACATTCCATTTTTATCAAAAATGATTTATTATCTATATTCTAATGTATTACACTGGCAACTTTAGTTTAAAGATGAACTTATATTCCTAACAAATTGCAGGTTCAAGATGGAAAGCCAATCTGGCTTAAAGGTGGCTTTTATGATAGATTTCTGTATACCACCACTATCACCTTGTGCTGTTTAGGTCTTCTTATGAATTTCATAGTTTACTTCAATCAAGCAAAACCATCTTCGTGGAAAAATCCCACTTGTTGAATTTAATTTTTATTTCATAACTTTTGGACTTTGAAACGGAAATAAATAAATTACTTGAATAATTTTTATTTTCCTTATATAATTTTTATATAATTCTAATAAAAGTAAACACTACATTTTAAAGAAGAGTTTTAAAGATCAGATTTAAAGATGTGTTTACAGATAAATAATTTTATTATACTTTAACAATATAATCTAAGTTCTTTGAACATGTATGTGAAATTTACATGACGGCATTGACTGCACCTCTGCAGTTACCACACTGTTTATACATAAGTTGGCCAGCCCTCCTCTTATAAGTCCACATGTGTAGGCAACATACTGAAAAAAATTACATAAGTATATTATGGGAATATTTCCTATGGGTTAAAAACTAAACAGGAAATATTTATGAAGTACATGTTACTGTAAAATACCAAATCCTAGGATTTAAATTTTTATAGTAATAATACAAAATCTAATGTAATCTATATTCATTTAATTGATACACATTATGAAAGCACAAACCATCAGAAAAATACTAAGATTTACAATAGTTGTCCTTTTACAGCAATATATAGACTACATATCTTCATTTATTATTGTCAAATATTAGTATATTCCTGGCAAACTTGTTTAAAAGTAAAATTTCAAGATAAATCAGTAGCAATAAATCTTATTAATATTATAAATGCGAAAGTTTAGATGGATAGATGGATGGATGTTTGTAAGCGTTTGTAGCCTAAACGGCTGAATGGATCTCCATGAAATTCGGCACAGGTTTAGAGCATAGTCTGGAAGAACACATAGGTTACTTTTATCCCGGGAATAGTTACGGTTCCCATGGGATTCAATAATTTTTTTAATGTTTACTGATCATTCTGCAACGGTTCAACATGTCTTATTGAAATTTGGCAAAGAAATAAAACAGGCAGATATAAAACAAAGTCTGGAGAACACATGGGATAAGCTTCATCCCCAAAAAATGTCCGGTTCCCGAGGGATATATAGCTTTTTGTAATTTATATAGTAGGTATGTTATCTAATACCACGCGGATGAAGACCAGGGCAACAGCTTGTGTGTTAATAAAGAAATCTATCTTACCCTTGGTGCATACTCTAAGTACTGTTGACTGTTTGAGAAGTTTGTGAGAAAACGAAAAGCATTGTCCTGCAGTACATAAACCCCCTGATGGTTAGTGCGCAGGTTATCAATCTGTTTTTTATATATGCAAGTCCAGAAATCTGTGCATATGAACTTCATTGTGTCTAATTCATCTTTGAATCTCGGCCATTCTCTAGTTAGCCTCTCCATTATTTTATAACCAGCAGCAAAACCTATATACTCAACAAGAGACAAATCTACCTCCTACAAAAATATAATGGCATTTATAAAAAGTAAATGCAAGAAAAATTATCATATTCTAATGAATTATGACTTAATGTTTAGTTTAACTACTTACTTTACTGCCATTTGTAGTTTTTGAATTTTCTAAAACGTAATTTATTATTTCTGAATGTAACAATTCAAACACAATGTCATCAGCCATTATTTAATGCACCTTGTAATATTTAGATGAACACCGTGTTCTTGTTTTTATATTTTTTGAGTAAAAATAAATAAGTCTAAAATCTGATATCTTTGCTTTAATTTAAAATATGGATTTGAAATTTAATTTAATGTTAATAAATCAATACATAGTTTACTTTGACATTAATAAAATTTGACCAGCAATAATAACAATGACAACTTGTCAACTGGTATAAACTATAGACAAATAGACATCTTAAATATTGCCACCTTAAATGAAGTCGCTCGACTAGTAGGCGTCGAAAGGGACGGTGAAACAAGAAAAAACGCCTCACTTGTTCTTTTCAAATATAAACAGATCGCTTTTAAATTACCTCAATATGTTAAATGTAGTATTAGCTCTTCCAACATATCTTTATATCTTAATTGTTCTGGGAGAAGTTGATCGCAATATTTAGTAAGTAGAGAAATATCGCAATAAATTGTATAAAATGGTTGCGAAAAATAAACTAGTAATTACATACATGTTGTAAAAATTACTAAACGTTATAGGCATAATTATTGTCATTTTAAGGTAACACTTTATGTAACTTTGTCAACATGTTTGATGATGTTTCGTTTCTGCTATATAAACATCGTATACCTATGGATATGGATAAAATATAAAAGGAAGATGGCGATTTCGCTGCTGTCGGGATTGTGGCTCTTGTCTGCAGTTAATACCAGTTTAAATTCTTATTGACTATTGTGATTTAAATAAGTTGTAATTTTAGTGATCAAGTGAGATTTGCTTAAAACAAAGTTAAAATCTGATTTTTCGGAACATAATTACAATGGATGTAAATAACATCGCAGAAATAAAAGATGGCGATCTTGCCCGACCACTTTTAGTGGTAGAAGCGCCACCTATAGTTGAGGCATCGAAACCAAAGCATGAAACTAATTTCAAAAAGAAGAGAAGGCGCGGGAAAACTAAACGCAAAATTATGAAACCGTTTTCAAAAGTTCCTTGGCAAGAACGTAGGAAGAACGATCAATCTAAAAGAAACAATAGATTTCGTAAAATCGTTTTGTCTAAAACTCAGGCACCATTTAACAACAATCAGTTTCTAATGGAAATTCATAAACCGGAGCCAGAAAATAATTTCCATAATTTAAGAACGCCTTCAGCGCGTACTCGCGATTCTAGCTTCAGTGTTGATTCCGAAGATAATTATTTCTATTCCTTACCTGAAGATGAAGAAGAATATTTGACTAAAGAATTCTCAAGCGTGTACGAAGACGCACAAAGTGAACGTTTAAATAACATGTCCAAAACTGAGTTGATCGAAGAATACCTTGTTCTACAAACTAAGTATGATAACCTTGTTAAAAGAACCGAGCGTTATAAATTAAAGGAGTCGGAATCGGATAATGCCACTATCATAATGGACAAAGATTCTTCTAACACCGATAGAGAAAGCATGCTGACTGATCAAGACACCTCTGAGACCTCTGCATCTTGTTCTACCGATGAGCCTTCTATGGTGGAGCTGATGCAACGTCTTAAAGAGCAAGACGAACAAATTCGCGATCTCCAAGTTGTGAATGATAGGTTGAAGTTGGAAAATGATCATTTGACTCATCAGTTACAGGTCATTACCACAAGTGAAGATTCGGAAAGCGACAGTTCCTCCAGTTCCGACAGCGCAAGCAATTCCAGCCGATGTGATACCCCTGGCACTGATCCTCCATCTACAAATGAAGTTGTTACTAATGGAAATCAACTTGAAACAAATGGCATACATGAGAACACTGAAGACTTGCAATCAAGCTCTCCGGTTCTTAATGGTTATCACAACCCCAGTGAATAGGGTGGAGAATGTTTGCTTACAATAAGGGATAATACCTGATGGGCCGATCGGTCCACCAACCAATCGAGACAATGGGATTTTTCCTATTGGGCCAATTAAATCCATACAAAGAATCTAAAAAAAAACAGGTTTGAGTGATTGATGGGACAATCAGCCCAAAAGGTAACCATAATAAATCACTAAGATTTAGGTCTGCGATTGGAAGAACATGGAGCATAATATAGGTGTTTATTTGCTTGCCTGAAATATTTAGTGACTTGTTATTGTACAAATTTTGGATAGTTTTTTACTGTAATAATGTAATTGTGAGATCTCATTTATTAGGTTTAGTTGTTTTCCTGTGATGTCCTTTTGGATATTTTGTCAGTAGTAATATTAAATTATTCTAAAATTGTGTATATATTCCAAGGATAGATCTCACTTTTATATTTGTACAGTTGTATGTATTAATATTACCCATTAAGTTAATATATTTTAGTTTGTTAAGTCATTAAATGTGGTTATTGTTTGTTGTTGCTATATTTTAATTCTTATTGTAAAACCAAATTGTATATGATAATTAATTTTAAAATTTCACCTGGATTTTAAGACAACTTAGGTTAAAAATGTGTTGAAATCAGCTACATCTTTTCTATCCGATTAAGAATTTGTTGACAATATTTTCATCAATATAGCAGGAACAAAATTAAAATACATACATGGACCTTCCATTTTAGCTAAAAAAAAGTTGTTGATGTATGATAACATATATTTAAAGTTATAAATGGTTAGCAACTGTAAGAAAGCTTATTAGATGCATTTAAAACTTTAATAATTCCATGAATAATGTCATCACATTTATATGCATAATGATTTTCTTAAAGATAAAACATCACATAAAAGTTTATTTATGTAATTTAAGATTATATTTATTTAAGATTTATGTTAGATAAGTTTTTATGAATATTTATAAGTAAAAATAAACAGCACACAATATAGATTGAATAGTTTTTAGAATTTTAACAGGTCTGATTTGAAGCATGTAATTAATAGATCATATGCATATGGTTGTAAGGTATGGCTGAGAAACTGGAGTATTATTTATATCAGTTTTGTAATAGGACATTCCAGTTGATGAGAATGCAATATCTGAAATGTTTAATAAACCTATCTTGGCTGCTTTTGTTTACATATAGTTGTTGATAGTCATGCAAATGGTGTTATGTACATAAGTGTTTGATTCCTTAGTTAAGTTTAATTTTTGTCTCTCTGTAAGTTTTAAGAAATATAACACTAATATAATACATTGTTGCCTTTTTATTACCTAGAAAATTATATTAATGATAAATGGACATGTAACATGAAGGATGTTAGTTATGAACGTGGAGGGGCACAACTGTAGAGGTAAACCTAGAAAGAGATGAATGAATTGTGTGAAAGGTGACATGATTAAGAAGCGCCGATCATACGGGAGTAGAATAAGGTAGGCAAGATGAAGATAACATCCATAGATAAAAACCCAAGAAGCAAACTTTAAAGGCACATAAATTCGCCAAGCTCTTTCAAATTGGTGGGTTTTGTAGTTTCACATATAGAGTGTAAGAATGAATAAAGTTGAATTTATATTAGGGTTATTACTGAGTCCCCTTATTAAATTCTGATTTTAATGGAGGCGTAATTTCTAATAGGCAACTGAGTCAATGTGATTAAAAGATATATTAAATATCCTAGAAGTCATTTTGTTTTCATATACCAAAATTATAAGGGTAAATTAATGTCATTTTCAAAACATGAATCAATGTGAATTATTTAATACAAGCCACAAATACTTTTTCCAGATTTGAACAACTACAAATGTGGGATTCTACTTATTGAGAGGACAGGTTCCTTTAACAATCTCAACATTATAACAAAATATAAATAATTATCTGTAGCTCGCGACATCGTCCGCGTGAAATTAAAAAACATAGCCTATGTTACAGATAAATTACCTTTTTAACGGTGAAAGAATTTTTAATATCAGCTCAGTAGTTTTTGAGTTATTTCAATACATACAAAAATACAAATCTCTTCTCTTTATAATATTAGTATAGATGCCCAGTATATCAACTTTTGGTTTGAGAATTAAATATTTAGGACACAGGTTGAAGATGTATTTTTCATTGGAATAATATTTACACCTTTCATAAACAATGTATTGTTGCGAATTAAAACGACTTATTCCAAGTTAGTTATATTTCTCTTTATTCCCCTGACTTAACAGCCCACGTTCCCATGGTAACCGCTTACAGTTTTTATATCCAAAGAGTATCAAAATTATATAACATGTCACAAATTAAAAAGCTAATTATCAAAGAATATTTACACGTAACAGTATTTTATATTATCAGGATTTATTACACTATTTGGGAACACCTTAATGAATAGCTTTGTTTAAATAATAAAATCAGATATCAGATATATCATATGAAAATGAACTTAACTTCCAATAGGAATAAATTACACATTTTTTTTACAACTATTAATTATTAATTATCCTTTTTCTTTTTAGCTTTTGATTCTGGTACATTTGGGTTTGTCCCTTTATAAAATTGCTTCAATAATGCCATTGCTTCTGATGCTAATAAGTTACCTCGTAGTTCGTAATATTGTACATAGAATTCACTTACATCCAAAACAGTTTTCCCGCCAAATCTGTCGTTTGCACAACCATAAACAACTTCTTTGACTTTTAAATTCTGCAAGGCTGCAGCACACATTATACATGGTTCCACAGTCACATAAACACTTATATTTGTAAAATAAGTGTTATAATCAATATTGTTTGCTTTACAATGCTCTAATATGAAGTCAATACAATTTATTTCAGCATGTCTTGTTGGATTTTTTGTTACATTAACACAATTTCTTGATTCAGCGACAATTGTATTACCAATAGTAAATACACAACCTACTGGCACCTCTTGTGCATCTAATGCCTCAGATGCTAATTCGAGAGCTCTTTTCATAAATTCAACCATCATTACATTTTTTTATGACTCCGGTCACAAAGAGAGAATTATAGCTTGACTTTCCATTTTTGATATCTGAAATTGTATTGAAATTTTCAAATATTGAAATGCAAATTTGTTTTTTTTTTTTACATTTGAACTGTATTAAATATAATTATTTTTTCTAGATTCTTTGGTTTTAATATGAGTAATTTTTGCTACTAATTTATTAAAATTGACTTGCAATAATTATAATTACATTCTAAACTATGTATCATTTATTTAATAAAACAAAAAATAGTGTTTTGATTTTAGCCAACGGTTCGTATTCTGACAATAATACTCAATACTGATTAGCTCATGCTATAGCATGTATAGATATTACCCAAGTAAATTCAAATTTAAGTACATTTCATCCAAATGTTTAGATTATTACAGTATTGCTTCATGCTTCAAAAAGTAAAACTTTTAGTTCAACAGTTTTATAACAATGGTTATAGTTTTACCAAGAACACTTAAATGCATCTCTGAATACACGGACGATAATTGTAATATAATTTTAACTTACAAAGGTATATTCATGTTGTGGTTTTAATTTGTTTTAAAATTAAAATAAACAAGACATTTACAACGCGTCGTTGACAGTTTGACAGACGAAATCAAAAGACAATAGACAAAGATACTTGACAGTTTATATTTTTATTTGCCTTTTTGGAGCCAGGTCTTTACGTCTTAGCTAATTAATTTAAGCACTAAAAACCACGAAATAACACTTTTTTGACTTCATTTGTTTGCGAAATAACTCCTTTTTGTTATAAATACACTCTTATATACGAAGGAATATAAATTGTAACGAAATTATCGGTGGCTATATTTGTTAATGGCTTAAATGTTACATGTCTCAAAACCAAAACCAGTCCATAAATTAAAAAAAAGCTTATGTCAATGTCAACGACAAGAAAAGTCACTTTTTGTCAAAATGTTTATTATTTTAAACTTCTTATGAACCTCGAAAAGAATGATCTCATGAAATAGTGACTAATTACCGGTAATATTAATAGCATTCAACATAGCAACATACTGCAGTAATAACATGGCTTCTATTCATAACGAGGATATAATTAAAAAATTGATAAAAAAGACTACTGTACCACTTATCTTACGACAATTTGTTGACGACTGGCCTTTATGCTGGTGGAACTTGGAAAAATGGTCTTCGATTTTTGGAGACAAAGCGGTGCCTTTCCGCTGTATGAAGAGAAATTTCATTTCGACGGGTCCTTGCTGGGAAAGGATGTGCAGCGAGAAGTTAATGACATTTCATGAGTTTGTTGGTAAGGCAGAGGAGAGTGAAGAGTGGATGTATTTTGATTATAAATATTTACAGCAATGGTTTAATGGACATAATGAATTAATTAAGGTAAAATAATTACTTAAGTTATCAGTCAATATTAGGATTACTATATCACATATTTGCTATATCTGAATAACATTATTATGTCCTCAGGAGGTCTCATGGAAAAAGTTTGGACATCCTGATAAAAATGCTTCACACAGTACTCTGTGGATTGGAAGCAAAGGAGCACATACTCCAGCTCACCAGGATACTTATGGATACAATATCATAACACAGTTGTATGGAAAGTTAGTATTTTTAATTAACTTGAAATTTGAGATCTCAATTTGATTATGCTATGATCTATGATCCAATTTACATGATTGTTTTTGACTGTTGCATATTAGGTATTTGGTCCCACTTTTTTCAAAACTAAACATTATTCAGTACTTTTTAAGTTTATCTTAAAAAAGCATGCTAAAAGTCGGAGATCTTTGTCTTGAATTCATTTAAAAATGTGTAAATGAATTTTCGGGTAAATACAATTTATAGTATGAAAGTGAATTTAGCAGAAGAGTGTTTCTGTTATGTGAACATGTTAATTTTGTTCTCAGAAAGCGTTGGATACTGTTCCCTCCTGAGACTGGTAACCTGAAGCCGACCAGAGTGCCTTATGAAGAATCCAGTGTGTACAGTGAACTGAATTTCTACTGTCCTAGTAATTTAGATAGTTTTAATGGTAGGTTTTAAATATTTTTATTCTACTCATCTAAATAAATTAAAGGAATGTCTTTATATCATACTATTAAATAAAACTTTAACAAACATTTGTACATTTAAGAATTTCAAGTTACAAATCCAGTAGTAATAGTCAATATTTGTAACTTCAATTTTAAAACAAAATTTCACATATATTGATTTTTTTTTCTCCAGTACAATAATTTTGTAAAATTGTATATAAGGTAACTGTATATAAGGAATCATAATTACATTTACAGCTTTGACTGGTGCTCGATTGGTAGAGTTGTCAGCGGGAGATGCTTTAGTAGTGCCTAGAGGCTGGTGGCATTATGTACAAAATATTGACAATGTCAATATTGCTCTTAACATATGGTTACCACATGTAAGTATTATTTACCTTAGTAATAGTAATTAAAATTAAAAATAATGGTTTCTTCTTTTTTTTTCAGGAAAAGGATACCTCAACCCAAGTTTCTGAAGCATTGGTTAAAATTTTAGTAGCTCAACTATGTAAAGACTTGCCTCAAGAAACGGCTAAGCTTCTAGTCAATCCAAATGAGGTATGTATATATTACCGCAAAAATGCACTTTACTCAAGTGCACAGTTGAATTTTATAAACTAAGTCTCTCCTTTTACACCAAATTACTTAACTAACAAATTTGCAACAGTTAGGAAAATCATAAAAATTACTATATTCAAACATTAAGTAGTATGAAAACTTATCAGAAGATATCAACATAGATTTATAACATATGGATACTTAATCTGGAGCAGAAAAGGCAACAAAAGGCTCTCTTAAGTAGTGCTAAATTGCTTCAGTATTGTTGTTTACAATACAAAATGAAAATAGACTTTTAATTTATCTTTTTAATATGTATATTATAATAAATTGAATATAATGTTGTAACACTTGATATTCACAGGATGATATATCGGAGACACCTTTAGCGGTGCTATTTCTGCAACTGGACACGGTCGCTAAGACTTATTTAGACAATAAGAAGAAACTACGACGTGTCAAACGACAGAGAACTTGTGACATCGACTCTGATACAGTGTCACAAGCAGAAGACGAAATCGATTTAAAAAAATTACTAGATAATAAAGAAAATAAGCTAGAATTAGCGACAATGTTAAATACAAACGATTTAATAGATTTATTAAAAGATAATATAAAGATGTTTGTTAATGATGGCAAACAAATCGATGATGACGAGATAGAGGGCGCCACTGACAAACTTCATTTGACAAAAGCTGTCATAGACGCGTTCTGTCAAAGTAATGTGATAGAACTTGTTAAGCAGAATTTGTGTGAACGTCTCGGTTAATTTTATTTTATCTATGTAATAAAAGATTCTGACATAAATAACAGAAATAGGCAATATCTATATGTGATTTTTTTTTATTAGTATTTGTTACATATTTTTTGCTGATTTATGCATCTGTGATGTGACGTAGTAAATTAAAAAAAACGTACTTAATTACTATAAGTAAAAGTATTATATTATGCTGGGAGCAAATAAATTACAATTTATTAAAATGTTGTTTTTTTCATTATAATATTATCCTTATCATATACTCTTGGTGTTTTTCTTTTTAATATAAGTTTTGTAATAGAATTCACTAAATAAGAGGAACATGAAGAGGTTTTGTGGTATAAGGATGTATGCAGGTTGTCGCGGTATGGAGCAATCCTTGGCCACCACTAGCGCACTGAAATGTAACAGCAGCAGAGTAAATTGTAGCTGAAACAAAATTAAATATACTGTAAGGGAAAATTACTATATAATATATAAAGTACACCATCCTCTGAAATAGTAAAAAAAAACATTTTTTCGTTTTCCAAACGGTTTTATAAATAATTAAATATACTTACAATTTGTACCTGCGTTACATATTTCTTCCACCAGAGGGACCTCTTGTAGGACTCGTCCCAAACGGTCAGCAAGTAATACGTGTACATTATTATATGGACAAATGAATTTATGGGTACTAACAGCGTCATATGCCCACCTGTTAAACAAGTACATGGTAGAATTTTGTTTGATTTTTTTTATTATAAAATTACCAGTTATTAGCTGTAGCGAATTCACCCGCGTGAAATTAAAAAAAATAGCCCATGTTTCAGATAAATTACCTTTCTAACGGTAAAAGAATTGTTAAAACGAGCCTGGTAGTTTTTGAGTTATTTCAATAAAAACTTTTTAATAAAAAAATAAAACCGACTTCCAAACAAAATACACGAAAAACAAAACAAAACAAAATACACCAAAAACAAAATATTC